TTCTTTCTTTCTTTCTTTCTTTCTTTCTTTCTTTCTTTCTTTCTTTCTTTCTTTCTTTCCTTATTTTGTCTTCTTGAGACAGGGTTTCACTATACAGTTCAGGCTGGCCTTGAGCTCACTTTGTAGCTTAAATTGGCCTTGAACTTGCAGCAATCCCCCTGCCTCAGCCTCCTAAGTGCTGGGGTTACAGGGGTGCACCAGCACATCCAGCTCTTGTTCTATTCTTCTGTTTCTCACTTCTTCCTTTTTAAAAATCTTGCTGCTTCTTCCGTTTTATCTTTTCTGAACCTCAGTCATTTTTGTTATTAACTTTGTATTTTACCTTTATGAATTTTTAACTCTGTTTTGTCCCTGTCTTTTATATTGTTATTAGCAGCATAGTTGTTGGTTTTAATTTGTTTTTACCGCATTTCAGTATGCAGTTTGTCTTTCTGTTGTCATTTTTACTGTGGTTTACTTTCTGAGTGGGACTAGAGATTGAGCCCTCAAAGGGAGGATTTTTGCTAAGAAGAACCTCACATAAAATGAAAGATACGACCTTCCTAAAAGATGTGAAAATTTTGACATAGAAACACAAGAAGTGTGAAAAAACAAGGCAACAAGATTCCTCTATAGTTTCATACCTCTTTTTATTTATTTATTTATTTTTTTGTCTTTTTGAGACAGGGCTTTACTATTCGGTTCAGGCCGGCCCTTGAGCTCACTTTGTAGCCCAGGATGGCCTTGAACTTGCGGAGATCCTCCTGCCTCCACCTCCGGAGTGCTGGGATTACAGGTGTGCGCCACCACGCCCAGCTCAGATTCATAACTATTAAATGCCAAAGAATTCTAAAGTAACTTTGCAATGATCAAGTACTTCAAAGAAGATACAAATAAACAACTGAATGAACTAAAGAAGACATAAAAAGATACAGATTCTAAAATAAAAATCCAAATCTTGGAAATGAAAGGCTCAGTACATGAAATAAAAAAGCTCAATGGAGTCACTGAACTAACTTAAGCAGAAGGCAGAATTGCTTGAAGACCAGGTTGATGAGTTATTCCATTCAGGCAGTAATAAAAGATAAAATATTATGAATAAAGCACTCAAGAACCCTGGGACACAATTAAAAAACCAAACTTTTAAATTTTCAGTGTATAAAAGAGGACACCAAGAAACAGATTAAAGGCACACAAAAAAATTCTATTTAATGAAATAATAGCAAAAATACTGCTAAATCTTTAGAAATATATGGACATCCAGGTACAGGACAGTTTAAAATCCCAAATAGGCATGACCAGAAAAAAAACCTCACATATCATATGATATCATATGGTAGTTAAAATCCCAAGAGTACAGAACAAGGAAAGAAGATTGAAAGCTGCAAGATACGGACACCAAGTCATTTACAAAGGTAAATCCATCAGTGTAACTGCAGAGCTCCGAGCAGAAACTCTCAGCCTCACTAACTGTCAGGGAAAGGCAAACCAAAACCACAGTAATGCATCACTTCTTGCTTACCCAAGTAAGCATGACCGTGCTCAAAAGGACAAAAAGTAGTGAATGTTAGGAAGAGAACAGAGAAAAGAAAGCTCTTGTACACTGCTGGTGAGAATGCAAACTGGTACAACCATTGTGAAAAACAATATGGAGAGTCCTCCAAACATAATTAGAAAGTAAAACAAGTATTTGATTAATCCCACCCCTGCCAAGGATATTATCTTACAAAAATGAAATCAGTACCTTAAAGTGATTCCTGTGCTGTCATATTCCTTTCAGCATTATTTGCAATTGCTGAGATATGAAAATAGTGACCTAAGTGTCTGTTGACAGATGAATGGATCATGAAAATGTGTGAAACTATAAACAAACATGGATTCGTGTGTAATTGTATTATATAGGTGCAGATACTGGAGTTATATATTATTTTCACAAACAATGGTTGCTCTTTCACAAACTATATCTATACCATATTATTGGAATCTTTGTCATCTTTTTTATTTTTTGGTCCTAGGAATCGAACTTGGGACCTTGCCCTTACCAGGCAGGTGCTTGTGCCTCTGAGCTATATTCCCAGCCCTCTTTGAATCTTTAAGGCATAATATTCTATTTTACTTTGTTAAACTCAAGGAAGAAACAACCTTACTAGAAATACTTTTAAGAAAATACCATGGTTTTTTGTACTTTTTAAGTTCCTGTAGTCTTCAAAAGAAGGAGATTTACTGTGTTTAACAATGTGAATGAACCTGGAAGACAGCATGCTATGTGAGGTAAACCAGACGGAGAAAAACAAATACTGTATGATCTGACTTCTATAGTGGAATCTGAAGTAGTCAAATGCAGAAACACAGAATAAAAGGGTGGTTTTCAAGGGCAGAGAGTACACAGAGAAATGGGGAACAAAGTGTTAGTGATATGATGTAAAAATTTTCTGGAGACCTAATGTCTGCTATGATGGTGACTATAGTTAAAAATACCATACTGTGTGCTTGGAATTTGCTGGGAGGATAGTTAATAAATGTCCTCATCACACGTACATGTACACACACAAATAAAACTGCACAAGGTGATGAATATATCATGGTGGTCATTCTGCTATCAGATGTGGTAGGGGCCATTTATTCCAGGCTCTTGTCCCATTTGAAGAATCAGATGGGGCAATCCATGAATTAGAAAGTTTAATGTTTATTTAAAGTTTAAGAAGGAAGGTAAAAGAAGAAAGGAAGTGCTCAAGAAAAAGAAGTGCTCTGAAGAAAAGTGAAGATACACTCCACACTCAGGGTGGCCCACTACCACAACAAAAAGGCCGTCTTCCAAAGTCAATGGCTGGGACCTTTGTATCCTTTTTTCGTGTCAAATCTGGGCCGTGATTTGACAGCTTTCCATGATTGACAGGTCCTGTCCTACTGTCCAGCTTCTTTGCCATACCCTAATGTCCTGCTTCAATTTTAATATATATGTAATGGATAATGTACATTAAAAATACATACTAAAATATCAAGTTGAACATGTTAAAAATTTTTGTATTTCAGTTTTCCCTAATATGAATAAATTGGTAAAAAAGGGTTCATTGACATCTTCTAAACACTATCTAGATTTTAGGCAATAGCTTAATTCTATCACTAAGTAAATCAGATTTGTATTTTATTATTTCCTTTTACAATAATTGAAAATGGCTCTTCCTAAAGAAACCACGATTTTATAAGCACTATTTTCAAGTTATGTGAACCATAGTGACTAGATATTTGAGTTCTACCAAATACCTTAACTATAACCTAAACATTTTGCTTACATACAACAAAAATACTAATTTACATACATAAACTGGTTTAAATTGATTTAGAATTAGGCTATTTCCTTTAGTGTCCCTTTCTTTGCAGTTCCATTTAAAAACTTATTAATTGTTGATAAATGCCTTATGTTTTTTATTTTCTTGATAGTGAATGACATAACGTCATATTTACATAAGCTTTGTAACAAATGTGTCAGGTTAATTCAATAGGATTGTATCTTAATTTTTTTCAGATTCTGGGATTGTCTAGCATTTGTTGCTTTTCTTATGGTGTTTACGTTCAGTGGACTTCTGATTCCTGCAGATACATATTTGTATATATCATTTTCGGACATTTATTATTCATTAAATATCTACTTGACACTGCTCGTTTTCAGGTAAGAACAGCATTCAAATTTCTTGTTTATGGAAAATTAAATAAGTCTCAAGCTTGTTTATTAACCAAAACTATTTTATGCCTCACACTGCAGTTGACTCAGACTTTTCAAGAAATGATTTGAAAGTTAAGGTTTAGTAGTTTTCTCCGTATTTGACTTGATTTCAAAACAATACACCTAGTAAACTTTTTGAAAATTAGAAAGAAAAAACCTTCACGATCTTTTATTAAGAGCTATTTGGCATATTCCATCCAGTCTTTGTTTTGTTTTTGCTTAATATTACACAGTAATATCTATGAATTAAAAATTATAGTTAGAAGGACCTTTTTAAGCAATCATAATAGAAGAAATCATAGGCTTTGTAAATGTCTTCTTTGCTCAGATAATCTCCATGATCCCTTTTGCAATTTTAAGAGGCAGAAGAGTCTGCTCAGGCAGCTGAAAAGATGAAAGTGGTAAAAAAAAATCACCACAATCAGTATCCTAGGTCTTTAATTCCCATCACTCAGATTGCTAATGTTCCAATTTCATCTAGCAAATTTAATTGGATTGCTGAAAGCAATTCAGCTAGTGCCGGGGCTGGGGATTTAGCTCAGCGGCACAGCGCCTGCCTGGCAAGCTCGAGGTCGTGAGTTCCGTTCCCGGTACCGGAAAAAAACCAAAAATAACAACAACAACAACAACAGCAACAAAAAACTCAGCTAGTGCCAAGAAAATAAGATTAGTCCCAAATTATCAGACAAAAATCCCTCAATCCCTTTCAGGCTGATCGAGCTATGATGGACAATTGAGGAGAATAGGAGAAACAGGAATGATACGAGGCAGGAAAAAAGAGCTGTCCAATATAAAATATAAAAGAGCTGTCCAGTTTTACAGTTTTAGCAAGACTATAAAGACATAAAGAAAATATTTTCTTCTTATTTCTTATTCATGGGATTTTTAATTTTTTGTTGGGATCCAGAATATACATATATACAAAATCTCTCTTTTTTTTCCTACCTAAGGAAGCACAAGTACCACTACGCTACCATTGCCTAATAGAAAGGGACAATGAAAATAAAGCCATTCTCCCAATACCTTTTGTCTCCGTTTGGTGCGGTGCTAACCATGTGTGAAAGATGACATGTTAGTTTGAGTTAGCAAGTCCACAGGGAATAGCTTGAGATAGAAGAGAAATAAATTTCTATGACAAGAATTACATTGGAGATATTATTTTGTTTTTCAGACTTCTGCTGTTTCTATTATTGACCCCAATTTTGTCTCGGTTTGGTCTTGGGTTCAGCTGGCGTTGGGCATTCATAATGGTCTGGAGTGAAATGAAAGGAATCCCTAACATAAACATGGCCCTTCTGTTTGCTTATGCTGACCATACTTTTGGATCTGAGAGAGAAAAATCGCAGGTAAAGAAATGTTGGCTATTTTACAAAAGTATTGTTGTGTATTCAGAATATGGTTTAGAGTGAGGTAGCTCAATCTCATGTGGGCTGTAGGGATATTTCACTATGATGCCAAGATTTGGGGAGAAGAAGAAGAATTTGTGACTTTTCTTTTCTTCATTCCAGCTTAGAAATTTTGTGATTCCTTCTCATACCTAAAAATGAGTTTGCCATAATGATTCAAGGAATTGAAACTTATAAATTATTTAAAACAGTACGTTATACAAAGTATATACTCAATGATTTCACTTTTGTTTACTCCTAATATCCACTTAAAGAGGCAGACACTTACTTGTGATTACCTCTTTTACTTTCTGTAACATAAGCCACATTTAATAATGTGAGGAAATAAAACATTTTAATTGTCAAGGAAAGCGATCTCTAAGACAGTACCCCTGAACTCTGTTTAACTGAAAATACTGGGGTCATACTACCTCTACTGCATTTCAAGTCAAGATAATTACACAGATCTGCAGGAAATTTCCTATAGAAGTATCACAGCACACCTGCCATTTCCTCTGTGTGTGTGCATGTGTGTGTGTGTGTGTGTTTTATATAAATTTCAAGTGTGAAAGGAAAAGTAATAGGGTAATTGTTATGTGTCTAATTAAACAATAGTTCAAATATTACAAGACTAAAATTTTAAGTATTTTTAAAACCAACATTTTCAATATTGGCTTCTTTCCACCTTTCTTTCTTTCTTTTTCTTTTTTCTTCTTTCTTTGTTTCTTTGTTTCTTTTTCTTGTTTCTTCTTTCTTTCTTTTCTTCTTTCTTTCTTTTTATTTTTCCTTCTTTCTTTTTCCCTTCTTTCTTTGTTTCTTTCTTTCTTTCTTTGTTTTTTTCTTTCTTTCTCTCTTGTTACTGGAGGGTGAGCTTATGGCCTTCCCATTGAGCTATATCCCCAGCCTCTTTTACATGCTGTTTACTTTGAGACAGAGCCTTGCTAAGTCATTAAGTTCCCTAAGCTGGGCTCAAACTTGTGACCCATACCTCATTCTCCCAGAACGTTAGATTATAGGCTTGCACCAGCATGACCTTCTCTCCCTCTTCTTTTTAATCTGTTTCCACTTTCTTTGATAGTCAAAGTGAATGTGATCAGGATAATACGAATGTTGCATATGGATCTGAGTTTGGAAATTTGTAGTTTAGCTACTGTTTTCTGTGTGGTCATTGAAAGTTACTTAATGTTCTCCAGCTGAACTCTATAGCTGCCTTATTAATACCTACAGAAAGGCATTGTGTTGAAGGGTTAAAGATACATCAAGGATACTACTGTAAGACAAGAGGAAGAGGATAAGGGAAGGGAGAGGAGAGCCTAAGGGAAGGTAGGGAGGATGAATATAACCAAAACATGCTATATGAATTTCAAAATAAAAATAATAACCTGGAAAAGATACTGCATTTTTAATCCTGGCCATGCTATTCACAAGTTATGTGACCTTGGGTAAATTATAGGATTTTAGTTTCCCATTTGTATAATTGGATAATATTTATATTTGTTTCCCAGAATTATAGTGAGGATTATATAAGCTGGTGTTAAGTACTATATGCATACTGCATAAATGTTAGCACTTAGTACTATTAAAATATGCATTCAATTTAGTGGCCTTCAACCTAGAATCACTTTAGAATACTTCAGGAGCTTTCAGAATACCAATGCATGTGAAATTCTGGCCTTCCCCATGACCAGTAATGAATATAAGCTATGCTCTCCACAGTAAGCACGTATAAAAATGGTAAAATTTATGAAGGAACTGACTTTGGGTTTGAGCAAGAGTCATTAGATGCTTAGATTCTCAAGAGAGAAAACCTACATGGTGAATTCACATTTGCTCTCATCTCTCTTCAAAACTATAGTACAGAGAAGGTGAAGCGAAAGAATAATCTAACAAGAACATAGAATTTAGGACTAATGAAGTAGCTTGAATTTTTGAAGCAGGGTCCTGTAGGGGGAAGAACTGTGCAGAAAGAGATTAATAAGCTCTGCATGGGTGACACCCCCACATAAGAATCCAGTAATAATCATCCAAGCACAGAGTCAGAGGGTGGTTAACAGAAGAGTCATTAATTAGGGAGCTTTGAGTTAAAAGGACATTCTGAAAACCACATAGTGCTGATAGAATACTGGAGCCTTGATGAGCTACAGCGTATAAATGTTACTGAATACCACCTAGGTTGTGACCCCAAAATAGGCATGGCTTATAAATAAGGAGTATGCCTTAATCTCTAGACCAGCTCTAACAAAGATTGAAACGAAGACTTTGCAGGATAATGTGACCTTCCTGTTAATTGACTACCTGACACAAAGCTCAAAACTCTTTACAGAAAGATAACATAATCAAAACTCTCAACAGCATAGCATCTATAGATCCTGCACTGCCTGATATCAAATATTACTATGCACATGATGAAGCAGGGAAATGTGGCCTATTTTTTTTTCTTTTTTTTTTTTTTTTTTTTTTGGTTGTTTTCTGGTACCGGGAATCAAACTCACGACCTCGCGCTTGCCAAGCAGCTGCTGCACCACTCAGCTAAATCCCCAGCCCCTGTAGCCTATTATTAAAAGAGAAATTATTCAACTGCAACAGCCCCAGAAATTACACACATGTTGGAGCTAGCACAGCTACTAAAGATAAATTCAAGAATGTAAAAGAAACAAATAGATAAAAGAAATGAACCCATGAGAATATTTTTGTGAAACTATAACAAATACAGTTCTAGAATTGAAAAATATATTATCTAAAATAGAAAGTCTCTCTATGTACTTTGGCAAAGACTGTACACTGTAGAAGAAAAAAACAATTCTAAATAGATATACTTTAATCTATTTACTTTAAACAAGGAAATACGTGAAGTAAAAACTGATAGAACTAAAGGGAGAAATAGATTTTAGTGGGAAACTTTAAGACACCTCCCTGTAACTTGTACAACAAATATAAGGCAACTAGATATAAAATGAGCAAAAATATAGAGGCGAAACCACCATCAACCACCAGTATCTAACAGACATTTCTGAAATTATATTACTTGATGCAAAAAAATTGACAAAAATTCATTATACATTCATGGTAAAAGCTCTGAAATTATAGGAATAGAAAAGAATTTCTTAATGTTGATTTTATAAAAATATCTACCAAAGCTACAAGTAACATCATAATTAATAGTAAAAAATTATTTTCCTACTAAGATTATCAACAACACAAAAATGTCTACTTACACTGCATGTATGGAACATTGCAATGGAAGTTCTAACCAGTTCTATGCAGAAAAGGAAAAAATGTATAACTTTGGAAAATAAGAAATAAGACCACCTCTATTTGCAGAAATGTGATTATCTACAGAGAAAATTTCAAACTTATTAAAAAGTAAAGTGAAAACAAAAATGTCCTATAAGTTCAACAAGTCTCAAAATAAGGATAAGTATTTAAAAATCAGCTGTAATTTCTATCTACTAGCAATTAATTCATGTAAGCCAAAATTAAAGATATAATATTATATGCAATTGCAAAAAAGTAGAGTTTGGTATAAAATCTACTAAAATACACTGCAGATACTCTAGGCTGAAAACTACAAAATACCAATGAAGAAAACAGAAAGTAACTAAAGAAATGGAGAAATATACTGTATTCATACATCAGCTTAACATTCTAAGTTGATGCAAGCTATAATGCAGTCTCTATTAAATCCCAACAGGTTATTTGCATGTACGGACACGTTTATCTAAAACTTATATGAAAAGACAAAATAACTAAAATAGCAAAAGTGATTGCCTCTCATGAAGAAAACTAGGAACCAGATGATGAAAAGTTGAATTTTTGAAGCAGGGTACTGTAGAGGGAAGAACTGTGCAGAAAGAGATTAATAAGGAAAAGTTCTAAACATTTAAGTAATAAATAACACTGATTCTACAAAAGAAATAGAAATAGCAGGACACTTTCTTATTCACTTTATGTATCCAGCCCTCTCTGATTTGAAACACCAAAAAGGACATTACAAAAAAATCTACTGACAAAATATGATTTTTTTAAATACCTAAAAACTATTTAGCCAACAGAATTAAATTATATATCGAGGATAATACCTTATGTTCAAAAAGGTCTTATTTAAATCTTTAATCTTAGTTAACATTCAAAAAACAATCACTATAATTCAGTACAGTACTGCAATAGAGGAGAAAATCTCTTCTGATTATTTCCACAGATCCAGACAAAGAATTTGACAAAATTTTACATCGACTTACTAATAAAAACAGAAAAACAAAAACTTCCTGTGAAACAGAATTTAAAGAAAAATACCTTAATCTAATAAAGGGCATTGATTTAAATAGCATCCAACAAACCTAAAACTTATGTGACACTTACTGATAAAATACTATAAGTTTTCCTCTAAGTTTGGGGAAATCACAAATACATCTGCATTTCATACTTCTAGGAAACATTGTACCCAGTGGGTCACCTGGGGCAATGGGCAGAGTTGGGAGAAGGCACCAGGATTAGTATGCGCTGTGCAACTGCACTAGTACTAATAAAGAGATTCAACAAGAACTTGAGATGCGTGTGCAGCATACAAAACTAAATTGTATTTCTCTAAACAAACAACAGTTAGAAACAAGAAGTAATAGGCTACAGCTGTAGCTCAGTGGCATAGCGCATTTAGTTTGTGTGAGATCCTGGGTTCATCTAGCACCAAGAGGAGGCAGTGTGAAGGTCAGGGTGAAATGAATAACAGTAGCATCAGAAACACAACACAGAAATAAAATAATGAATATGTATGTATTGCTTATCTATGGCTGTGCAACAAATGATGTCCATATTTAGCTGCTTTAAACAAGAAACATTACTGCGGCTTCTTTGAGTCAGAAACACGAGTGCAGGTTAGCTGGGTGCTTCTGATCCAGTCTCTGTCATAAGCTCTATGTAAGTGTGAATTAAGGTCACACTCATCAAAAGATCAGCTGACTGGAGAGTGCTTCCGCACTGACATTTATGATTACTGAAAATCATTTGAAGCAGTTGGACTAAAGGCCTCAGCTGCTCGCCGACTCTTGGCTGGAATCCTCCCGCAGTTACTTGTCACTTGGGTCTCTCCGTAGGTCAGTCACATTATGGTAGCCGGCTTCCCTCAGCATGAGCAGTCCTAAAAGCTGAAAAGAGCAAGCTCTCAAGGTGGAAGCCACATCCTGATTCTAGTTTCATTCTGAAATGGATGAAGTACATTCCGGAAGAACTTCCAGAGTACATTCGTCATGCCTGACATCTTCGCATGCCATAAGCTGCTATTGACATAGTACATCCTAGCTTAATTTACCTTGTTAAATATCATTACCAATGGCGTCTTGGTTACTTTTCTCTTTTTGCTGAGACAAAATACCCAATGCCCAAAATTAAGGAAGGAAAGGTTTATTTAGCTTACAGTTTGTGGAGGTTTCAGTCCATACTTGGCTGGCTCCGAGGCAGCAGATAGCAAAGCAACAAGAGCAAAAGGGGGAATGGCAGCCGAACAGCAAAGAGCCAGAGCAAAAGGGAGGAATGGCGGCAAGCAGCCTCTTTTCCTCCCTTACATTGTAAAACGGGCTACCCCCACCTAAGGGGCATGTAGCTCTCACATAATCTCCATGCCCTCCTCTTCCACAGGCTCAGGATGTATACAAAGTAAGCACCCTGGCTTCCTGCTGAGTCACTTAGCCAAACCTCTAGACTCCCCAAGTTGACACAATGTATCAACCATAACAAATGGGTAATAAGTTATCCAATATGCTTGCTTCACATGTATTTATATTTTTCAATTCTAGGTTCTGCTTCATGGAGTGACAGTGTGCTTTATTAGCATGATTGTCAACCATTTCATTTTACCAGTGGCAGTTTCTAAGCTGGGTAAGTCATATTAACTACTATTCTCAGTAAAGAGAAAAATATTCTACATATATCAATGGTTTTAATTGAAGAGGAAATTTAATCTGAAAGGTGTGTTAATGTCTCAGACCAATAAGCTTTTTTATTTTAAAAGATTACTTATTTATATTTGTGTAGTGTTTACAAACAGTAAACAAGTCAAGCTAATATCAGAAAGTCATGTGTAAAGCAAATTAAACAGATCAGTATGAAATAAAATAAAGACTATAACAGGTACTGAAATCCGAAGGAAGCTAGAGCTGCTGGAACTTGAAAAAATAACACAGGGAGGTTTAAAATGGTGGAATAAAGGCCAGTAGCAAAACACAGCTTCTTCATGTAGAATCAAGACACCAAGAAAAAAATAATTTAGCAAAGAGGAAAAGAAGAAAACCTCTGAAAATCAAGAAAGAGCCAACAGGAAAACTAGAAACTACAAAGAAACCAGAGAAATTAAATGTAATATAGAGAAAAATGTGAAACAGTCTGGAAAACTAACTCTGACTCCCAGGGAGAAGTTCTGTTCTCTGCAAACACAAGATGACCCTGGAGAGGCCCCACAGAGAAACAAGGTACTGAGGGATTTGCCCCCAGGAAAAGCTGATGGTTATTGTAAGCTGCAAATACAGTGTGACGTTTTGCTCTGACAGTGACTCTTCCACATGATAGGTTAGAGTTTGAGAGGAAATTTACAGCGGTGTCCACCAAATTTGAGAGTGATATATTCAGAAGCTATTTTGGGAAGTGGTTTATTGTCCAAGCTTGAGCTACTTCAGGAATCAGAAGCTACAGAACAACTACAATTCAGGGCCTCTATGATCACCCTAACACAGGGACTTGGTAAGAGACAGTTCTGAAGAAGGAGCAGGCTAATTACAGACACCCTGAGAAATTTAAGCAATGGCAGGCTCATGTTGTGAAGGAGACAGTGGCACCATCCTTGGTGCAGAGATGCTCATGTATGGTTTTTTCAGGGGACTAGGTCTGAAAGTGCTAATATTAAGTCCAGTAGACTGCTGTGTCCATCTTGCTGCATACTTTGAGCACAGAGCTTAGTGGCCTGTTTACTGTTCCCATTTGCCAATGGGCTACACCCAGTTTGGTTGTTGCCATGTCCAGGGGTGTATGGACAGAGAGACCTCTGGAGCCAGGGGAACTCTCAGGAGCCCACAGGCTATAAAGCTAGCCAGAGACAGTAGTGACTTGGGCACACAGAAGGCAACAAACATTGAAGTGAATACAGTCCTACAATAGAAACCACACCATTGATTGACTGTGCCCAGAGGGAAGGCAGGGGGCAGGACTCAGCATTCACATTTAAAAAGTGGGTATGAAAACAATAGACCTGAGCTGTTATTCACTATGTCTTACCCATATCTGATGGATTCCAATACTATAGGTCTTGGAAAGAAACCACTCATCTTAACACAGGGAGGGATATTTTGGACTCATTTTTCTTTTTCTGTTTGCTTTTGGACTTTTTTTGTTTGTTTTGATTTTTTTTTTTTTAGTATTTTTCTCTTTTCCTCTCTTCAGTCTTTCTATATCTCTTCTCTTGTTTTTTTTTTCTATTACCTTTACCTAATTCTATTAACTTTCTTTTAGTCTTTAATTGGATTTTTCTTTCCCTTCTATTTCCTCCCCTCACTGTAACTTTTTTTCAAAGTTCACTTTTTTCATTTTCTCTTTGTTCACCTCCTCCATTTTTATTATGATTACTACTGAGCTGTATTAATTTTTAGTTACTTAGATGACACTATGCCATGACTGGGGAATTCTGTTGTTAATACTGGTACAGTTGCTGCTTTGAGTTAGTATGCCAACTAGTATGCCAGCTGTATTTCAATATTCGGGTTGTCTTTGTGTTTACATTGTTCTTGCAGATCTCTTTGCTATTTTGAGGATGGTATTGCTTCATATGGTATGTCAGTAAAAAGTGTGCCTTTGACTATTATTACTTCTGATTTTTGGTAATGGTGGCATAGTTTTTAATTGACTTTTACTGCATGGAATATCTGGTTTGTCTTTGTGTCATCAGCATTACTGTAATTTGTTTTCTCCTCTCTGAGTGGTGCTGAAAGTCAACACCCAGAAGGAGGTTGAACACTAAGAAAACCCTCAAATGTTATGCTAAAACGGTTTAAGAGCAGTATAAACCAGAACATGACCAAACCGAAGGACACATCATAGAGAGACAGAATCTAGCTAAAGAGATCTCCACACTAGCGTCAGAATATCTCTATACTAATCTTTAATTCACAGAACAAAACATGAAACTGGAAACATGAGAAATCAAAGCAACAACATGTCCCCCAGGGTGCCCCAAAAGCTGACCTCATGGACACTGAAGTAGAGGAAGCTATAGGTAATAAACTCAGAAACCAAGTGATCAAACTCCTTGAAGAGATTAAAGAGGAAACATATAAGCAAATGTATAAGATGTTTAACAGGTGTGAAGAGGATTTAATGAAACAGATGAGGGATTTTACAAAAAATGTTTGAATGATCTTAAGGAAGAAACAAACAATAATTGAGTTAAACAAGATGATACATGACATGAATGATTACTTTGGTGAAGAACTAGAAGGTATGAAAAGAAAACAAGCAGATATACCTAATATGAAAAATTCAATGAAAAGTACAGTACAAGACTTAATCAATGTGAGGACAGAGTGTTAGGAATAAAAGAAAAAGTGTATGTAGTAGAATATAAACTCTACATGAAAAATAACAAGATGCTATGCAAGCTAGATCCAATTAGATTGAAAAAAACCTCAGAATTATAGAATAAAGGGAAAAATAAAATTGAAAACAATTTTTAAAAGTTTATAAATTTATTTACTGAAATCATAACAGAAAATGTTCCAAATCTATGGGAAGCATTCAATTTGCAAATACAAGAGGCATACAGAGTTCCGAACTGCCATAATCAGGAAACAACCTCCCTATCACGTAGCATAATCAAAATTCCAGAAATTCAACAAAAGGAGAGAATACTAAAAACTGTTAGAGAAAAACAGCAAGTAACCCATAAAGGCAAACCTATCAGATATCTTAGGGTTGACCTTAAAGTTTAGGAGAGCTTGAAGTAAAGTTTTTCAAGTGCTAAAAGAAAATAATTGTCAGCCCAGAATTTTATACCCTGCAAAATTGACCTTTGAGATAGACAGAGAAGTAAAATCTTTCCACAGTAAAGAAAATTTAATGATGCACATGACCATTAAAAGAGCATTACAGAAAATACCTAAGAGAAGCCAGGATAGAGACAGGGAGGCTATCAACACCAAAGAGCCCACAGGAAAATATATATATCTTACTTGGAGAGAAAACAAAAGGAAAAAGGTAAAAGAATCAGCTCTGGAAAAATAGTGTAATGCCAGGATTCAGTAAACACCCTACCATAATAACTCAAAGTCAGTGATCTCAACTCTTCAATCAAAAGACACGAACTGGCAGATCAGATTGAGAAACAAAATGCAATCATATATTACATACAGGATACATCCCTTATCCAAAAGAAAGCTCATAGGTTGATGGTGAAAGGATGAAAAATGATATTTCATTTAACCAGATCCTGAAAACAAGCAGGAGTTGCTATTTTATTTTCATGTACAAAAAATTTCAAGCCAAAACCAATCAAAAGAGACAAAGATAGCCACTACATAGTGATAAATGGATATTTCAATAGGAAGAGATAAGAATTATAAGTATCTGTGCACCAAATGTTGACACACCAATTTCATGAAACAAAAAACACTGGACTTAAAAAGAGAGACACCAACACAATCATAGTGGAGGACTTCAATGGCCCAGTGTCACAATTAGGTTAACCAGACCAAAATACTTAACACAGAAACTTCAGAGTTAAACTACACTGTTGAACAAATGAACTTAACAGATATCTACAATGTTGCATCCAAAAATAACAGAATGCACATTTTTCTCAGCAGCATACAGTTTTTCTGAAAAAGGCTATATAGTAGGCTATAAAACACACTTAAATAAATACAAAAGAATTGCAACAATCCCCTGAATACTATCAGATCACAGCAGAATGAATTTAGAAATCAACCCCAAAAGAAGCCAAAGAAACTATGCACACATTTGGAGATTAAATATACTATATTACTGAATAATCAATGGAACACAGAAGAAGGCATGGACAAAATTTTAAAATGCCTAGAATCAAATGATAATGGAAGCACAACATACCAAAACCTGTGAAGCACAATGATAGCAGTTCTAAGAGAGGAGTTTATAACTGTCAAGGAACATGTAAAAACAATAGGGTGTTCCCAAATAAATAACCTAGTGATTCATCTCAAGGTCCTAGAAAAAGAAGAACAATCTAAACCTGAAACTAAAAAAAGGATAGAAATTTGAAGATCGGAATGGAAATTGATGAAATTTAACTTCAGCAGTACAGAGGATCAATGAATCCAAGAGGCGGCTCCTTGAAAGCGTGGGAAAGGGGTCTGGAGGTAGGGGCAGAGGGGGTAAAAGTGATCAAGATGCTGTATGTGTATGAGCCAATTCCTGACGATGAATAATTTGTTGTGTATTGCAAACATATACTAATTAAAAAGGAGTAAGAGTATTCTAAGGGGAAAATGAGCATAATGCAGATAATTCCCCCCATGCGTTTAATTAGCCAGTGATTAGGAAAGCTAGGTCCCAAGGTCTGCAGTCTGCATGCCCAAGAACTACTGGCAAAAATGTCATTGCGCTGTAAGTTCTCATCCAAATATCAAGACTGAAGGCCAGTACCCCAGCTCAAACGTCATAAGGCACAGAGAGCAAATTCTCTACTGCCTTGCCTTTTGTTATAGTTGAGCTTCCAGCAGGTTAGAGGAGGCCCACTTACACTGAAGAAAGCATGGCATTTTTCTCAGTCTCCCAGTGCTATAGAATAGCATTTATAGAATATAGACTTCTTCCTTCTAGGAATAGTCCCTCAGAAACTTCCAGATTACTGTTTAACCAAATATCTGGGTGCCCTGTCTTTCAGTCAAGTTGACACACAAATTTAACCATCACATCTTTGCTTCTCTGTTTGCTTCATTATCAAGCTGGGGGAAAGACTTTCCTTGAAAGTTAGTCAAGAGCCAAGAAATTTACTACAAGTAGTGTTGAAGGACATTTTCCCAGCATATAGTAAACACCTAGGAAATACTAGCTATCACTGCTATGACTGCATTTCAGCTTTTGTAAGTAGTGTGAGAGTAGAAAATCTTGAACTTGTTAGTATTTCCATTAGTAAGCAATTGATGTTGAATCTTTAATGTTTGTTATGGTTTAGATTCAGACTGTCTCCCAAAGTCCTCAGGTGCTAATAGGTGGGGTTTGGGGAACATGACTGAATTGTGGGGGCAATATGGCTGATTTGCTAATTTTGAATTTGCTAATTTAAGATAGATGGGGTCTAGGAGAAGAGGCAGGTCACGGAGTGTGTAACCTGGAAGGGGATTCCTACCTCCTCAGCCCCTCACTCTGCCCCTGCTTCCTGGTTGCCATGATGTGAGCAGCTCTCTCCCCCTCTGCCCTTTTATCATGCTTTCTATCTTGGAGCCAGCTGAGTGAGTTTGAGAGTTCTCACTCTAAAACCTGTGCGAGAAAATAAACATCTCATCCTTTGCACTGTGGAGTCCAATGTTAGGTCCAAATGACAAGAAAGTGACTAAAGCAGTGTTTTAAAAACTTAGTGACAATAAGCAAAGAACAAAAGAATGATCTAAAATCCATGTTAAAAAAAATCATGACCAGGCATGGTGGCGCACTCCTGTAATCCCAGCACTGGGGAGGCTGAGGCAGAAGGATCGTTGCAAGTTTGAGGCCAGCCTGGGCTACAAAGTGAGCTCAAGCCCAGCCTGAACTGTATAGCAGGACCTGTCTCAAAAAGCCAAATAAATAAATTAATACTGGTATTTCTCTTGTTTATAATATGTGCTCTTTGTGTCAAAGGTCTTCGTGATGCTGCATCAACAAAATATAAATCAAACCTTCATACCTTTCAGCGCTTTCAAGAACTAATCAAGTCTACAGCTTCCACACTCAAATTCGACAAAGATCTTGCTAATTCTGAGTGGAACATGGTGGACAAGGCAATTGTACTTCAAAACCCGTTTGCAGTAAGCATGTCACATGTTTCTACTCCTTCAAAGTATATATGATTGCCTTTTGATATAAACACTTCATAAACATTAATTAACAATTTTAAAACTTTGTAATTGATTTAGATGTTATGTTTAAACTCTGTGTCATTATAGTAAGGAAGACTGTTAAAGAAATTTTGTGGTCACACGGGTAAAATAGAAATCACTATCCCTTTGATTATATAGAAAACTTACAAATTCAAAAGAGAGAGTAATACATTGGAACTGCCTTTACAATGTACCATGTAAAGACAGTGAAACATTGAAAATGTCTACATTTTGAGCAGATTGGAAGTGGGCAGGGTCTTCTGTTCATTCCTTCAACATTTTTTAGGTCAGACTCATTTACTTAAGGCTGCTCAGCACCTCAATCATTGTTTCCACGATGGAAAGTAGTAAATATTGTTTTGGGATCTTCTCACAGTTACTACTACTTTCGCATGTCCTATGTCTTGTCCAATTTTTACTGCAATATTTTTTGCATCACACATTATATCAAATCAACGTCTAGAAGCACAGAGGAGAGATCATGTCTTTAAAAAGGATCTCCCCAAATCCATTTAATATCCACTAACCAAAGCTTGAAACTCCAAGTGGGACTCAGAACCAAACCTTGCTTTTATAGGGACGCTGCTAGGATTTCTGACGGGACTGTGGAACCAATCCAAGAATTTTGCTAGTAGATCCCGGTCTCTGATTGTGGACTTTTGTTGATCTGCCAACATGAGAATCATTTGGAAAGCATATTAAAAACTAGCTGAGTTTCCAGCTGTGACCCTGGAGATTCCGACACAGTAGTCTGTGCAGGGCTCCAGGCATAAACATTTTTAATCCACTACCTCCACGATTCTAATGCAGTCAGTGCCGAAGCCACCATTCTGGTACTTGATCTACTTCACCAAGACAGTTGAATAAGCAATGGCATTGTCCCGTTTATGATACATGTATGGGGAGAGTGTTATAGTGACAGGACAGCAGTGGCCTTGGACTCAGAAAACCTGTTACCTTTGTCACCTTAAATTGTTTGAGATCCACACCAAATCATTTATTTTCTCTAAGCTTCAGTTTCTCTCAGCAAATTATCTACATTCCTGTTTCCTTAATTGCACGTTTGTTCTTTATTCTATCTTAAGTGATTCATTCTAGCAGTGTTTGTCAAACTGTCAAATGCGCCAGCTAAAGCAGAATGAGTTTCTTTGTTTGTTTGTTTGTTTTTCCAGTACTGGGAATCAAACTCGAGACCTTGCTTTTGCCAGGCAGGCGCTGTGCTCCTGGGCTAAATCCCCAGCCCCACAGAATGAGTTTGTAGGAACACAAATAGCTGTCCTCTTCCCCAGCTTCTGATTCAATGGGTAGACAGGGTAGTCTGACTAGGTGCATCTCTCCCAATTCCCAGCTGATTCTGCTGTTGCTGCAGCTGGACCTCACAGAACTATTGGCTTTAAAGAATAATCACATATGAAATCAGTTCTACAAACTTTTAATAATGTCATGTAAAAATAAAGATATAACTCCTTTCTTTAAAACGGGCAATTATTTTACCTTCTACATAACTGAGCAAAAGGTGAGATTATTTGAACAACTAGTGAATAAGCTAGTGTGAGAATTCCTTGAGGTTTATACTGAACAGTAAGTTAATATTCATGTATCATTCTTTGTCTTTTTATCTGTGTTTTATCTAGTTGAGTCAGGAAGAAACAACGGAACATGAGAAGTTGAAATGTCCAAGCTGTAACAAGGAAATAGACGAGGCCCTCACCATCGAAGCAATGGATATGGCCAGCAGTCTCCTTCTGTCTGCACAAATAGTCAGCTCACTTATACTTTCTAAAATGCTTTGGGGCCTCAAGTTATCCTGCAAATTTACTCCCTTGCTAAGTAGATTTTGAGTGTGCTTACATCTATGCTTAATAGACTGTTTACAAAGACACAGGGAAGGTTGGTATTATCTTAGGAATCAGAAAGGGAGGAAAGGAAGGAGAGAAAAGGGAAAGGAAGGAAAGCAGAAAAAGAAAGACAGAGAAATGAGGAAGGGATGGAAAATGAAGGCAGACGAAGAAAGTAAAGAAGGAAGGAAGGTGAGAACCCGTGCAGTTTGGTTTTTGTTCATGATGTCTCTGCCTACACACCTATGTCTTTGAGACTTCTACCTACTTTCTCTTCCAGTAGATTTAGTGTTTCTATTTTAAATTTAGATCCCTGTTCCATTTTGACTTTAGTTTCATGCTTGGTGATAGACATGGGTCTAGTTATAGTCTTCAGCATGTGGAAAGCCAGTTTTTCCAGAGCCGCTTATTAAACAGACTTTCTTCCAGTGAACCGCTTTGGCCCCTTCATCAAAGATGAGGTGGCTGAGTGTGTTTGCGGATGCATCTCCATCTTCTGTTCTGTTCCACTGATCCTCAGGAAAGGGGAAATGAAGAAAGACAAAAAGGAAGAAGTATATGTTTGTACAAGAGAGTTAAGATTGTTACACAGCTAGTTTCTCTTAGTCCTTTAAAAAGAAAGTTTTATGCTAATATTGTACAGAAAAAAAGAAGGAAGGAGGGAGGGACAGCGAGATGGAGGGAAGGAAGAAAGGGAAGGAGGGAGGGAGGAAGGAAGCCTACTCATATTACTTTAAGTAAAAGATGTTTTCCTTTGAAGCATTGAGAATTTCATAGATACCAATGGTTGGAATTACAACTAGGCTTACGCTCCAGATGTGTTATTCAGTTCTGTGGCACCACTCTTTCTGATTTCAACCCATTTTTCTTGAAAGGACAACACCGAATCCTCTAATAAATGAAGGTAGAAAACATCACGATTTTGTTCAAATCCAGGATAACAATTAGAGACATTCTGGAGTACAGCAGAGTATAGGACTGTGTGGGAAACTGCTAATTGCTTAACTTTTGTTTCCTACCCAGGCTAGGATCTTGACTGTTTGGTATGACTTATCCTCTTAGAATGTTCTTGCTGGGCCTTCCCAGTGCATGGAGAGTTATCATGCATTTCTCTGCCATCCCAGACGTATAGGGTTCTAAGCATTCTACTTGCCCATTTTAACTTGGGAAATGGAAGATCTGCAAGATGTGAATATTCTCTCCAGCAGTAGACCTGGTAGACAAGTTGTCTCAAAGTCAGCTTTTCAGGGACCTAAATGACTTTTTTCAGAATCTGAGGCACTTCCACAAAGGATGATGCTTATGCCTACATACATGGTATTTTATTCACCCACAGATTTCCAGCTTGCCTTACCACATTAGGTACTGCCACCTGCAGGGCAATAATTTCATCCACATAGCTAAGTTAACACTGGGAAATGTATTCTTTTTCAAGCTCTTCCATCTCTTCCATCTCACGCACCCCTCAGACCTGGGAAGAACAGTGAAAGGAGGCAGTCATTAGGGTTTCCCTTTGCAACCATCTCTGTGCAGCTCCTAAAGCAGAGAAAGTGGTGCATGCTGTCTGAACACAGCAAGCCAGCAGGAACTGTGCAGGGGCATTCAAAAGGAAACAATGGACTAGGGTAGAGAAGCCACCAGACCAGGATTTCAAAATCAAAGAGGAATTAGAAAGAATGAATAAGGGCTAATCCTGGCCTAACACAGGCTGTGTGTGGTCAGCTACTCATGGTCCCGTTGGTTAGACAAACAGAAGGGAGGAACTTACAGCAATTAGTACACAACTGTGAGCATGTGAGAGAATAACAGAAAGTACACCAAATTTGCTACACAATTTAGGGACTATAAATCACATATTTTTCCAATAGAAAGTAAAAGCAAAAAGGAATATGAACACCACATTATGGAAACATCAGTCATCAGCACAAAGACACAATGTGTCTATCCAAATCCTATTATTATTCATGCTACCTACTACCCTCCAAATCTGTAAAGCAGGCCATTTCCAGTCCACTTCTCAAAATGGTCATGTGTGGCCTTGTGCATTGCAAATAGAGCTATTATTGATTTCGGTAGAATATGCATGATTTCATCCCCCAAATGCCTACATCTCAGCATTCCTCTCCTTTCACCTTGGACTTGACCAGGATTGCTATGTGCTCTCCCTCTGATACTCTTGCTCTACTACTCAGATCTAAGTAAACATTCATTGTGATCTTTCCCATTGCTCACTTAACTTGACCAAACAACTCTGCTTCTCTATCTAAGTCATGTACACATTAGGCACGTTTTATAATAACTGCCCTAGCTAGACTCATGATCAAAAGCTTTTCCATCACCACCACCACACTCATCTCCCACCCCACTCCTACTGCTACATATACTTTGTGTATGTGCACATGGGCGCACGCGCACACACACACACACACACACACACACACAATATTTTACTGGTTGTAAAAAAATTGCATGTCATTTTACTTGCAGATGGTTTTATGTGCATTGCTTTACTGAATTGTGCCCATTAGTTGAGTTCATTGTCCTCCTACACAAGTCTAGTAAACCTGGGTGACAGCCCAAATACTCTGACTTTTCAATCTGTGCATCTTTATTGAATAGCATACTGTACGTAGGCAGTATTCAATTGATTCTGTTAAGTTAATCCGAACTTCTTTGAACATTTTAATATTTATTACAAGAAAAAATTGTTGGTCTATTTTGGCGTCTCTGTTTTGCTGTTCTTCACCATATCTTTTGCTGTTTTAGGGTCCTTGTTTTGCCTGCTTTCTTTCTTCCTTTGCTTCTTTTGTATGAGGATGTACACTTTAGTTCTTTCTGTTGTGTAAGCTGGCTTAAGATATGTCTAATTTTATCTTGTAAAATATTATAAACATCAATAATTCTTCTAATTTTCTAATGAAAAATGTTAACTGTATACTAGCACTTAGGCTAGATGTATGTTCCCATTACCTTTTTGTCAATCTGTCTATAACTGTACTTTTCAAAAATAAAGGTGCACTTGACCTTCTACCTGTGGCTCAAAAACTATAAAAATGAATTTAGTTTAATGTTGAAAAACTACTTTGCTGTTCCTTTTTTACCTTTGATATTTAAACTTTGTTCTAATGATGATGCTATATATAGTTATTTTTATAGTAAGCCTTTTCTAGATATGCTTTCGTAAGCATTACATTCTTCACAAGTTGACATTATTTTAAAATTTGTACTATTTTCAACATTTCCAGTTGAGAGTATCCTTAAAATCTACTTTCTAATGGTTTGGCTAGAGTTTCTGGGTTAATAATATAGAAAATATAATTGATTAATAAACGTCTAAAGATGTTTCAGAGCTAAAACTATCAGGGATGCAACCAAATAATGATATATTCATGTGATATTATGAACTTAATCAATATTTATGAAATTAAATGTAACCTGTATTCCTGCTTGGATGCTTGTAGAATTATTTCTAGTTCCTTATAATTTATAAAATGTTAAGAGATCATGTCCTTAAGTCACTTCCAGATTTTTAATTAGTTTAGGAAATTACAGCATTACAGTACTATCAAATTAATTGTGAGTCTCCGTTTCAATTCTTACTTTCATTAGTGACATAACGTTCATTTCAGGACTTACATTTTCAGTCATTGTCCTCCCCATCTGTAAAAGAGTCTTATGCTAGCTAAGTGACCTCTTCAGGTCTTTCTAGTTGTGACAATTTGGGTTTTCTGTGACCCACATTTCCATGTATCTTTTCTGTTTCTAGCCTAAAAGGTTTAGTTTCCATTATTTCTCTAATTGTTGGTTTTATTCTTCTGTCTTATGTTTGTCTTCACCAGGAAATCTTGTTGTCAAACTAGGTTAAATCTCTCTCCTTTGTTCTCCACATCCTAAACTCACCTCATATTATTGTAGGCCATGTTCACTCTAGAGGTATTTTCATGTGTATCTTAATTGTTGATTTTGTCTCTGCAGTTTCAGTTCTAATGTTAGCCATTCTTGATGGTAATAATAATTGATCTTTTTAGTTTTCAAAGTTTTGAGAACTTGAATGTAAATCTCAGGCAGGTCTTGTGAATGGAGAAATATCTTCTCCTCTCCTCTGTGTTGAAAAAGAAATCATAACATGGCAAGAAGGCGGCCTAGAAGAAGTGGCATACTGTTGGGGGTAGAGGGAGACAAGCCTGAAATTCAGAGAAATCAAGTTTCTAATGTCATCTTGGGAAAACTACTCTCTGAAAATGAGCTTTTATACCTATGAAACATAGGCTAGCATACCTTCCTCACAAAGTTGCTACAAAAACAAAACACATACAATCAGTTAATTCAATGGCAGTTACCTAAATTGTTATATTTTTAGAATTAACATTTTTCTAAGATCTAACTCCCTTATCATTTATACTGCTAAACTTCATAAGACTCATATTATTTTCCACTTTCTTACTTTTTTCAGAAACTACAATTTTTACATTTGAGTACAGTGAAATAGTTTAATATTACACTGTGCTCACAAGTGCTTTTGTGCTATTTAAGGAGAAGAATGCTACTCTATTAAATTCCTGTAATTATGAACAAGTAGCCTTTTTATTCCACATCCTCAAATTTAGCTGATATCCCTTTCTAGCACCCCCCAGAAAAAAAAAAAAAGAATATTTTAGCATCCGTAATTGATTGTGCAAAGAGAATTCCTGCTATGGAACTCGTAAGCCTCTGGTTGTATCATGTGTTCCAGTTTAGAGAGCTGCTGTATACAGTGATTCTCAGCTGTGTTCCGTACACTGAGGTAGGGACAGTGTTAGGAAGTGGTCTCCTCAGCATCAGCAGAGTCCCTGAAGCAGAGTAGGTGCTCGAAAAACTTATCAAATGGAAAAGCAACAGTGTTCTGCAGAGTAGCATCAATCCCTTCAATCATTCTAACAGATGGCAGGCAGCACAGGTCCATTGTGAAAATACTATATTGGGGAACATGGAATGAAATAAAGATGCAAATTAGGATCTTTAGGATTTCTCAGAGTCTTTAATACTCTAACAGGTATGATGAACCTTTAAGATGAGGCTACAATTTGAAATAGTTCCTAGACTTATTTGGCACAAAACTCTATTATTTATTTATTTATTTATTTATTTATTTATTTATTTATTTTGTTATGAGATTTGGTTAACCAGTAGGCTACTTTCCTGCAGAACCAGCTTGTTGCACCCAAAGCTTACATCTACTTTCTGCAGTGATCTGGTGATCTGGACTCCATAGGAAGTTTATTTTTTTAACAGATTATTTAGAGTTTCTGACTTCTTTCTCACAGGTTACTTTTCCAGAAAGTCAGGAATAAGTTGTCATTGTTATGTATGCTATGTAATAATTTGAATTCGTATTTCTCTTAGGCAAGCTACCAAAGACAATACAGGAGTGAGATTTTGACCCAGAATGCAGTCCTGGTGTTGGTAGGTGCCTCCGAATGCTTTGCTGAGAAGAAGGGAGAGTAAGTATGCTGCCAGAGTGGGCTTCTATCTCTAAGGTACCACATGTAGAAAGTTGTGTGAGTTTTCTTGCTTTTCTCTGGTAACGTGGGCTCACCAGCTTTTATGTAGACAAGCCACTGCCTCTTCTTCCCCTCACTCAGGCCAAATTAATTTTTAATTTCTGAAACTTGTACTTGTTCACACCTGTGTGCATTTTAACTAGGTGCTACTTCTGTCTGTAAAATGCTCTTCCTTTTCTCTTTTGCCTCCTGCCAGACAGAAGCTGTTCTAAACTACTTTTCCTTTTAGATTACTCAGATGCCTGATTAAGGACGAACTGTTCCTTAATCTCTGGAGGCACACCTTTCCATTGAACAGACAGGGAGCGTTTCACATCCTGTTTTCATACTTACTTGACCTATACTTGTGATCTTGGAGGGATCTCCCTAGAGGGAGGTCTCCACAGTGAGCAGTGATTTCCTCAAGGTGGTGTATTGAAGAGTGCTTTCAAATCACTCCCTGTGGGAGGAATAAAAGATCCACACTTGAGCAGATTGTTGCAATTGGAACAATGTCTGTTCAAAGCCCAGATGTGTTTTAGTTCTTGACCACATTCCTGGTGCGAGTGACAGCCATATCCCCAGATGGAATGACTCTAAACTAAATTCCAGAGTCTGCTTAGACCTGTACCCCTGGCTCATTTTCCCATAAACAAACAGGATCTTTGATGTGCACGCATCTAACCTGAAGCATGTGCCAACCTCATGTCCACTAACATGTGCCAGCTAGTGAAGATAAAGCTGGATATGAAAAGAGAAGCTTCTAGAAACCGTGGCGTGTTTTCATTGTATTTCAAGCACAGATTTTTCAACGTGTCCAAGAGTTTTTATTTTAAGCCTAGCATGAAAATTTTCACGACCTTTTATGTAATAAGGTAAGAAAATGAAATGTGTCTTATTTAGTTGTTTGATCAATCTCACATGCCTATGTCTGGTTATTTGTGCAACCATTTTGAAGATAATATTATGTAATATAACAACCATTATTAATATCCTATCACCTTGTTTTGAAATTCTGTATTATTTTTGTTGTTCTCTATGCTGTTTTATGTATTTGTTTTTGTTATTTTGATTTTTTTCCTTTCTCTTTAAAATGAAAAACAAAATTTTTATGTATATACAAGGATAGCTGGGATAGGTGTGTTGCTGATGTCTGTGGTTTATTGAAAGGAAGAGTCAATGCTTAAAATTTTCTTTTTTCTTGACCAATTTTGCATGCTTGTATCTGTAATCAGAACGACTGGTCTGAAAACAATAATATGCAGTATAAGATCCATTGTTAAAGTCCTACCATCTTGTATGGTGAAGCTCTGCATCATTTCCAATTTTTTTTTATTACTTGTTACTGTTTTTGATCAATCTTACATTCTTACATCTGTTGGACTGAGCAACTTCATTGAAGATTACAGTATGCAATGCAGCAACCATTGTTAATTCCTATCATTTTGTTTTGAGGTCATGGGTTGTTTTTGTGTTGTTTTGATTTTGTGTTGTTTTGATTTTTGTCTTCATTGTTGTTGTTTTGTTAGTTATTTTTTAATCTTTAAAATAAAAAAATTTAGTTCTTGCTCAATTTATAATATTTAAATATTTCCATTTCTCCTTTCGATCCGTGCTCTTCATGTTTCAGTGATCTGAATAGAATCCAGGAGGTTGGGACAGAAGCCTGGGAAAATTGATTTGAAACAATATGGTGCATTCTTTAAAGATGACAGATACACAGTGTACAGTAGAAGTTCTTAAGTTAATGAATAAATGTCACCCTAAAAAATTTTCATTACATTGTCCAGGTGATAAAATAACAATATAACAAATGATAATAACAAAGCAGCATAAAGAAGTTCACTCTATTGCTTTATTTTACCCCCTTTAAGTCCTGCACAAGGACAGAAATAACATATGCCTCTGAAGACCCAGAGAAAGTGGACAAAAGAGGTCAATAGTGAGTAGGAAGCAAACTGCTAAAAAGAGTTTTAGTGCACAATATAAGCAAATTTTAACACATGTGACATTTTTATTCGGATGTATTGGAGATACACATTGAACGCTAATATGCGCAAAGGTCCGTAGGACATACCAAGATCAGGAAAATGGTGTTCCAACTTCTGGAGAGCTTTCCATTGATCACACTTATATTTTGTACTTACTTCTTTGCTGGGCTGCCTGGGAATTGATTTTACATTTCTGAATCATTTTTATCAGTATCTTGATGGATTGGAGTATCCTTTAGCAAGAAAAATAAGTCTTAGAAAGAGCGGAGGATTTATCCAGGGACACCAGGCTTTACATTAAGTACATATGAAATTGCCTAAGGAACAGGAAGGAAAGGGGGAAGAAAAAAGATTAAGATGTGTTATGTACATGTACCCACTCCCCAAGAGAAATAGAATGATTATGTGCTTCAAAGTGTACTAATAAACTTTAAAAATTTTTAGACAAATAAAAGAACTGCAGCCAACATCTATAAGTTGCCAAAGTGGTACCACTGACAAGATGGTGGAGATGGGCCATTTTGTTGAAATAAAAAGAGAGTGCTAAAAATTTTCTCAGGGAAATTATTCACATTTAACATCTAAAAATGTTACAGACATTGATGCACACAGAATTGGAAAATAAAAATTTCCTATACAAGTACTTCTAATTATGAATACATTTGAAGGTTAGTAAAGCAATGAAAAATGTCTATTCTTAAAATGGAAATGTTTATCAGGAAAAGAACTGACCATAGTCATAAAAACAAGAGATCCTTGTTTTAAAATCCTGATTGGTTTGTTTAAAAACTCCTTAAATGGAATATGTATGGTATACTTTTTATAATATTTGGCTTCATTTCATTTTTGAGATAAGTATTTCTACAGGCAAAAAACCCCACAAGAAACATATTTTAAATACACATTTACTGAGTTACGTGTCAAGCACATGTTTGGAAACTTTGTATGCGTAATCTATTTATATCTAACAAAAATTTTATTAGAACAGTACTGTTGTGATCTGTATTACATGGGCAAGGAAAGTGAAGCAGAGAAAGATTAAATAACTTACCCAGAGTCATTTTTCTAATAAACTGGAGAGCCAGAATTCAAAGACAAGTTGACTCACTATCCAATTAAAGAGATTAAAGTTAGGCTTAAGCAGTGAATGTGTTGATGTACAGTAGGAATTCAAGGCTAAATTGCTTAGTAATTTGTGCTGTAAATGATCACATACCTATTGTTATCACAGAATTTTAGGATTTGTCTCAATCTGTGAAGTTATCAGATCTCACCTTTGATATTAATTTCCTCATGAAGTTCTTCTGATCCTCCAGTGATCCATTAAATGCACCCTTGTGGGGTCACAGACTCACCTCTTATTTATTATCTCTGCCTCAACCATGTACTTCGCTGCAATTGTTGTTTGTATATTTCATCCCACTTGTCTACTGGACCCTTGAGGGCAAGGACTAGTATTTCTGCATGGTCTATCTATAAAGAAATGTATGGTCTATCTATAAAGAAATTTATCAAGCACAGTAGATATTCAAGAAATAATTTTTAAATTATGAATTAATCAAATCATATACATACTCAAGATTTTCTATGCAATTGCCACATCACTAATATTGACCCTAAGAGAATTGAATATCTTTCTTTCTTCTTATTACATTAATATCCTGTAGCCAAAAAATTGCACAAGTTCCAGAATGAGAACATTATATTTAATTAGAAGGACAGGGTTCATCTCTGAACTTAGGCTTCCAGTCTCCTTGCACAAAGCCATATGACAAGTTCGGGTCTCAGACCGAAGACCAGAGAGCTCTAGCATGCTTCTGATGAAGCCAATAAAGGTATCTGGCCAGCAGCAGGCAAGTTACTGGTAAAACAGAAGGGACCGGTGAGGTAAGACTGAAGTGTGACGTACAGGTATGAACTGTGTCAATACAAAATCCAACAGAACCCACAGACAACTTGATCTAAGTACTAACAAACAAAAACGTGAGTGCCTCTGAGACCTGACTCCTCCAAGTTTCCATTTTAGCTCTTCTGTAGACATTTTAATTTGACAACTTGCCCTGAAGATGAAACTGGAGATAGAGCAGATGGACTAGGTCTGTCACATATACTTTCTTCACCGAATTATCCCAATCTGACATAGATATTTTTACTCCCATTTTATAGATGAGCGATCTGTTCACTGCCACACCAGACAGTAGGGGATCCAAGACGAAAGCCCAGATGTATCTGAATCCCAAATATTTGAATCATGGCATGCTTTTCCTTTCTGGACGTTGAACTCTTACATTATTTTAAACCATGTGTCCCAATTTTGGGGGCACTGTCTCTTTGATGAGTGGGTCTTACGACCCAACTTTGTGGCTATCTATTTCTGTTTACAACTTCATGACTTAGAACTGTTGCACTCATATTCATCATGGAGCAAAATATTCTTTTTACATTCTGACAATAGTGCATTAAACTTAGTTTAAAATGTTTAAAGTATATTTAAAGATCTCTCTCTCTCTCTCTGGTTTTTAGATATATAAGTCTTGAAACAATAAAGAAATATTCTGAAAGCAAAAACCTGCTTGGTGTCCTGAGAAAAATACTGCTCAATTTGCTATATAATACTAAAAAAGATAAAGCCCCCCCGTCAAAGTAAGTGCTTTTGAAACTTATAGGAATGGTAATATTCATTTTCAAGTCTATTTTCCTTTATTTTAAAATTATAAGCTAAATACTTAACAAAAATATTTTGAAGTAGTTTACAACTCAGCTACTTATATACAGGCAAAAATTAAAGGGGATATGTAAAAATAATGTTCTCTCTTTTATTAATTCAGGGAAGTTTCACATAACATAAAACTAACAGTCATTTTATGTGTATAATTCTGAGTTTGGTACCTTCACAATGCTGGGCAACCACCAGCTCTACCGAGTTCTGTAATCTTTCACTGGCTCAGAGGTAAACCACTGGCCATTTGGTGGTCACTACCCATTCGCCCTCAAGCTCCTGGAAAGCACAGCTTATTTTCTTTTACCTAGTCAGAATTTTTCCTATGCATAGAATCATCAGTATGCAGTTTTGTGTTTCTAGCTTCTTTTACTTTGCATAATGTTTTCATGCACACTATAGCATGTTTTATTAGCATAATGTTCATCTATTTTTTTAGTATTATCAAGCTCTTGTTCATTTCTATGTCTGAATAGTAGTACACTGTTTATATATACCATACTTTGCGTACCCATTCATCAGTTGATGTACATTTGTGTTATTTCTACATTGGGCCTAATGTGACTAGCACCTGTCAACATTTATGCACAAGTACTTGTTTAAATACCTGCTTTCTGCCCTTTGGGTGTATTCCTGTGTATCCAATTATTAAGTCTTTATTTAATTGCTTGAGGTACCATGAAGTGTGAACTGTAAAGTGTTATTAAAATTATTTATAGACAATGGAATCACATAGTCTAATCTTCCAATGTTCAGTAGAAGCTGAACAGAACAATATAATTATTAACTTAAAATTTTAATTTGTTGAAAACATATAATTTAAGTAATAAAATAATAACTGTGTATCTAATTAAGGACACTTAGCTAGAGCTGTGCAAAAGAAAATAAATGAATAGCATTGATAAGTCTTCTGTGTTAATGTCGGGGCTGCTATATTAGGAAAAAACTGAGATCCTGACACCTGAAATGATAACACTAGGGTGGACAAACCTGAAGAATTCTGAAGAATTTTTGCCTCCAGATTCTCATGAATACTCTTGCCTTGGAGAACCAATCCCGCCACCACTACTGTTGGCCTCTTTGCACCTTCAGATATGACAGAGACATCATAAAACGTGGTCTGTCCTTTTTTTCAGGTTTAGTGTTTAGCACCTTTCTTTGCTTTCCAGGAGTTACCTAGTCAGGTTTAATACTGATACACTGTTAGATACACTTAAATTAGATACACTTTAATTAGGTTATGCTATAAGGGGAAAGATATAGTGCCTGCTTCAGGGAACTACAAACTACTGTAGGAATTACAGGACCTGACTAATTCCAGAAAATACTGGTAAAACATCTGAGGGAATAAATCTTAAGGCTACTAGACCAGAAGTTTGCAACATATGGCCAGATTGGAGAGAATTTATTGGGTTGAGTTATCATATTGAAGATGACACAGAGGGGCCGGGGATATAGCTCAGCGGCACAAGTGCCTGCCTGGCAAGCACAAGGTCCTGGGTTTGATTCCTGGTACAAACAAAGACAAACAAACAAACAAGATGACACAGAGTTCAGCACTCTGACAAGGCCAGTTGAAGCTGGTACTGTTAGAATGCTGTGTTGATTCTTTGGAAATTGACCAGACCAATAATCTATAGCAAATGGGATGTCCAACTAAATTTATTACGTGTTAAAAATCAAATACATGGACTTGTTCCCTGGGAAAGCCCAGGATACATGAGAAACTCTATATAGATGTCCTCCTCAGGCCATGGTTGACTGTAAGAATGGCTGTTATGGATGGATCTCCTTAATTATAAATAAGATAGAGAGGACTAGGGAATAGCAAAAGATAGATGGCAGCACTTGGTCTTCAGAGGCAAGGTGGGCATATTTTCTTCTGTGAGCAATGAATTTATAGCAGGAGAGGGCCTTGATCAACAAGGTTTCCTGAACTGGGGACGGATAAGAAATAAAGTGTGTCAAAGGGCATACAGATAAACAGCGACCATGACACTTTTCTAGAAAGTGACTGGTTACAAAAGGGATGGAATCAGCTACACCAAAAGGAAATCACGATCCCTCTTCCATTCTCCGTGGTGTACACCTAAGTCAGTTCTCTAAACCAGAGCCCTTGAGTAAAGACCTACAACAATCTCACAAAGGCAGAAGATAAGTATTTCCTCAGTATTTTTGATGGACACTGAATAATTTTAGCAGAGTTAATATATGCTGGGAGGGGGAGAGAAAACTCAGTCTTTTGATGAGTTTTGAATATGGCATTTAGGAAGCTAATACTGACACTAAAGGCCTATTTGCTGCCATAGTTCTCAAGTTAGACTGGAGCCCTTGGGATCAATGAACTACGGAGTTTCTGGCCTAGTTTATCTCAGTGAGAATCTACCAGGAAGGCCCCTTGTGTTGTTACTTCCACAAGTCCATGAAAGTATAGCTGGGGCTTATACATTTAGTGTCAGACTAAACATTCCCATTGATTAAAGTAAGAACTATTGTGACACGAATAGCCCAGTACATCCTATAATCAAAATAGTGAAATCAGAAACAATGTCGTATTCCAGGAGGAATTAGGAAATTAACACAGACAACTAAAAGTTTAACAGAATGATGAGTAGTCCCCGTCACCTGCTCTTCAGTTCACCCATCTAGCATAACCAGTGTAGAATATAATCAACCACTCGCTTAAGCACCAGGTAATTCAAAGACCGTGCTGCTGGAATACACCCAGAAAAGCAGGGCAGAGAGAAGACCGAGAAAGGCGCAGATGCCTCTCCACAGTTACTAAGCTTTACAGTCTGTAGCTCTTCTCACAAGCATGCACTGCCTGAGGAGGCTGGCAGTGTGTCTCAGAATCATGTTTCTATTTCGTCATCTCATTGTCTTTTTCTCAAATAGGACCCAAAATGATAAAAAGCTCCTGACTAACACAAATGTACTCCCTGAGAAGGGGAAGATGATCCAGGAGTCTAATCAGTAATGATTGATCAATCGTATCATTAGAGTTTTAACAATAAGAATGCATTATTATACCATTTGAATAATTTGAGGAATTGATTTAGAAATTTAAAAAGCGGATTCTCTCTGACGATTCTATTCAGTCTATTTGCTATGGAAACTATTTTTCAAAGCATATTGATTCATTAACTTAAAATTTTCGATACAATTGGGATCTATATTCTCCCACCACCACACATCTTGTGCTTTCTTCCCTGTGCCTCTTTACTCCATTGTTACACTGTTTGTTTTTTTTTAAAAAATAGTTTTTTCTTACAGCAGATGACAGAAAAATATGTATGCTCTAATTTCTTTTAGAACAATTTTCAAACTGTTAATAGTCATCTCTTTCAGAATTGGAATTTTTTCAAGGATGTGAAGGATTCTTGTTGTTTTGTTTTAAAAATGTTTCCAGTTCTAATTATCCCTGTCTGACATTGGACGTATTTCTTTTAAAAGTAAAAGCATTGCATAGTGGCATATTCTGTAATCCCAGCACTCTGGGAAGCTGCTGCAGAAGGATTGCCAGTTCAAGGCCAGCCTGGGCAAATTAGTGACTTAACAAGACTGTTTTAAAATTTAAAACAAAAAGGGCTGGGAATGTAGCTCAGTACAAAGGCCCTGGGTTTAATCTTCAGTACTGCAAAAGATGTGGATGAGCAATGACAAGACATTTGGTTGAAGAGGAAATTAAAAAGATAATATCCAAATCAGGATGTCAGACAATATTAGCTTATGATAACTGCTTCTGAGAATTAAGCAGGGCCCTATGATAATTGGTATTTAGAACAGAACAAAGTATATAATAAAAATCATTTGATATAGCTCTTTCATCAGATAAAACTCTCTCTTTTTGTTCTTGCAGATATCGCTTCCTTCGTATATGCCATAAGATAGTATCTATTGATGAATTTGAGTATATTGGATTCCTTGCAATACTAATGAATATATTTCCTATTGTCATCTCCTGGGTACCTTTGCTAAATAGCATCTATGGCTATGAAATAAGATATGCTAATGACTTTTTCCTTCTATTGTATATTCTAGAGGCTGTACTTAAGGTAATCTAAACAAAACTACCAACTAAACTCTGTGTGTGAGTGTAGTTATCTTTAACAAGATTTCTCATCATGTTTCAACACTAGCTACATATAGCTTTTGAAAGAGTATACGAGATTTTCCTCTTCTCGAAACAAACATTTTAAAAGGGATTTTTAGAGTGCCAATAGAAAATATGAATACTTTAAGCACTAATTATGTATTTTCATAAATAAATGTTAATATAATATGAGTGAAAATGACAGAATGAGTTTAAACAATATTGACAATATTGTTAAAGTCAACAGAGTTAGAAACACCTGAATGTTCATATTATTATTTTTGTACTTGACAGGTAAACAGAAGGACAGGTAGCTTGAGAGGTTTAATACTTGAAAAAATTTACAAATGGATTTTTAAAATCCAGTAAAAAGATAGTTGCTGAATGATGAAAATGTGTACCCACAAACCAATATTGGTGTTTTGTCCTATGGATCAAAGTTGTAATATAAAATATTTTACCCAGAAAATTTAAATAGAGAAATTATATCTGATACTTGCACAACATAAATAATTTCAGATATTTACTGGAAAATTCAATGCTGCTACAAAGATATAGTACTAGAAAGAATGTACTCAAATCCAATACACTGTATATAAATTTCAAGCTAGTAAGAATGACCATAGAACTTATAAAATGAGCTCCTTCCATAGTATTTACATTTTACTGTAAATTTCATATTCAACAAGAAGCCTATCTCAACTGCTTCTAGTTGAGTCCAGACAGAATTGTCAGAAAAAAACTCTATCAAGTCATGGATTTAAGGTATGAAATCCTTATTCTCAGAGTTCAGATTAAATTATACTACTAATGCCTTCAAATTACTATAGTCAACACAGGGTAAGAGAACTATACATTCTCTCCTAATTTTGTGCCTAATGAGATCTTAAATGGATTTTCCTATTTCATTAAGAGATACATCTAAGAAGTCACCCTTTTGAAGGACTGTAAAAGAATATTGTCTGAATCAACAAACACTCTAGCTATTCTCATTGACCCTTTAGATTTGTGGATGAGACAACAGAAAACAACTAAGAAATTAGCCTTAAAATGGCAAGTTCTTATTCACAATTATCTCATTTAAAAGGCTTACAACTTACAACTATCCAATTTAACCTGTTTATAAACATCCTACTGAGCTATTTCTACTCTAATGCAAAAATATATATTATGGACAAAAACATACATAAATAGCTCCTGAAAGGTACTCATTTGAATGTTGACATGTTGATGAAATTTTGTTAGTTCTACAAAAATATATTTACTAAGAATGAGTTTAATTCTCTATTTAACATATTTACTAAAAGGTTAGTGTAATTCCCAAGATAATTCGGACAAAATATCTACTTTTACTTAGATGTTTAAGAAACTAAGAATTACTTTTATTCTTCTTCACAAAATAAAATTACACAAGTGAATTTAGTGGATAAAATATAATTAATAAATAAAATTTTAACTACTTTAGTAAAATATTATCTATGTACATCACAAAATTCTACTTTATTTTTCTTGTTAATCTGAGTCACAGTTTTGGATATTACTCATATAACACTATAAAATGGAATACAACACTAAAGAGTCTTATGGTATTTAGGGCTGTTTGTTTTAAATTAAAAGATGTTATCACATTATGTTTGTTTAGGTTTGCCTGCCTTTCCCTGGCTGCTACGTTTTACGTCATTTTGTGAATTATTTCCTTCTATATTTATGGTTTGTAACTAATCCTAAATCAATAGTCCTATGAATGTTCCTTTACTATAGGATAATGTGAACAAACTTGTTCTGTTTGTTCTGTTTTGGTTTTCCTGGTGGTATTTCAGACATGTAGAGTCTTAAGGAAGATCATAGGAAAAAAAAATCTAACTTTTAATGTATAAATTATGTTGGATAGTGGGGTAGTCAAATTTTTAAAAATGACCTTGTCAACTTCATTTTAAATCAACAGATGGCAGCCTTGCAAAAGGAATATTTTTCATCTGTCTGGAACATATTTGAATTAACAGTCACATTCATTGGCATCTTAGATGTAATACTTTTTAACACCAGATCCATTTCTTATAATTTTGTCTTAACTGAAATAATGGAAACCATACCGCTCCTTCGTATATTACGCCTTTTGAAGGTAACTAACAAATAAATCATGCAATTTAAAATTCCTCTAGCTTCATGACTACTTTTAAGGCAACCACTCTTTATTGGACTGATGTTTGCATTTTAAATTTCAGCTTCCTTTGACAAGTTAAATTTTATAATACTTTATACAATGAATATTTAATATATAATAATTAGTTTAGCTCTTAGAAGTATAAACACATTCATTGCAGCTTTCTCTTTTAATAGGGAGTACATGAAAAATTGCACATTGGTGTAAGTGCAAGGCAATGCTGAAGTAATATATATTTTTATAGATACCTAAGAGGTAAAAGATGGAAGTAAGCACAACAAAGAGCCATACTAAACATTCAAAGGGGTGAAACAAGTAACATGCATTCACACAAATCATTAACAAAGTATTCACTCACTTTTATGTAAATTCATAGTAGTATAGAATCTTGGTATCAAAAATGACCTCTGATTGTCTAATACATGTAACAAGTGTGATGAGTAGTTTTTTATTTTCTTAAGATTATTTCAATGGCACGAAATTCTCCACAACAACACATGTAAACAAAATGGATGCAGTGGTATTTTTCTCTCTCCCATTCTATTCATACATAAATAAGACAACAAATATAAGCACTGTGGGAAATATAAAGCTAAACGAGCTGTAGTTTATGTAAAGTTTTAACTAACAGCATAGCATATTTTTATTTATATATTCCTTACATATGTTTAGAAATGCTTTTGCTCCTGAAAGCCATAAATCAATCAGATCTAAAAGTATGCAAGCAGTAGTCTCTACGTTGTCAGTATTTATTAGAGGGTAAGTAATGACTATCGTGCAGTTTAATCTGAGGAAAACAGACCTAGTGTATTCTATAGCCTAGTGAACTCTTCCTAACAGAAAGCTATACAAAGTCTACTAAATTGTGTAGGTGAAGGAACTGATAAACCATCTAAGAAAAGTTTGCTTATATATTCAGGAAACTCAGAATCCTTATGACAAATGGTAGGTCTTTAGAATATAATGACAAATTAGACACGGTCTCTGCATCTAGGTAGGTGACAAATTAGACAGTCTCTGCATCTCTGCAACTAGCTTATTATAGAAGGCAAATCAACAAGTAATCTAGATATGCCAATGTTATATGGTAGGACAAGTGCAAAACGGTACAAAATACTTGTGAGAGAGAAAAGATTTCTTTTTTTAGGTAAGACTTGAGCTGAATCTTGAAAAATGAGTATAAACTCTAGGGACTCATCACGGGTGGTTGGGATATGGAATACGGAGATTGTGGAGCGCACACACGCAGAGGAGGAAAGTACAGGGAACTGCCTACTACTCATTCCCCTAGTTAGGGAGCTGCGCAAGACAGCAGAAAACCTGAAGCCTTAAGCCCTCAGCAAAGTGGTAAGAAAAAAGCCTAACTGTGGGATCAAACAGAGAGCCTGGTTGTGGCTGACTCTCATCCACACAGATCATTTAGTCGGTTTGGTAGGTAGATTTAGCATGTGAATATGGCAGCACTTTGCAGACAGTCATTTTACAACCTAGGTTCAGAAGATTAAGCATGTTCTTTTTCAAGAATTGAAACCATAACAACATGCAATCTTCTGTAAGGGAAATGCACATAAAGAATAAAGTTACAACGTTGTTTCTCTGTAACTAGTAACATTGCCTATGTGTGGGGTATTATTAGTTATAGACAAATGACTATAGTCATAGACTTATAAAGGCACCATGAATAAAGAATCTTGATAGAGAGCTTTCTGTAGTTACCACCTTTGAGGGAACTTAATTTCTTATTATTATCAATTTCACTTAAACTAATCAGTACGTATACAAGTAACATCTGCCTAATTTATATTAAATGGTAATTTTGCTTTTTCAGCTCATAACACCAAAGTTACTGCGAATAATAGATAAAAAAATGAGTCATCAGCAGTCTTTTCGGTATGCTATACTGAAAGGATATATCCAAGGTGAAATAGATTCAATGAATATAATTGATGAGATTGCAACCTCCAAGCAGGTTAAAGAGGCGAGTAAAATCTTAAAACCTAGAAAAAGACTTCCTCCTTCCACCACTCTGTTACCTTCAGCCATCATGTCTTTGGTCTGTACATTCAGATATCATCTTTGACTCAGGTTTGATAATTAATTTCTGCAAAAATCTTAAACTGGTCTATTTTTAAATTACTTAAGCATCTTCTTACTGAGATGTCTGTACTATGCTAGCAAGATATGAGGCTCTTAGACATCAATTTTCTGCCTCTGTAAAAACCATCAGATTTCTCCCAAGTTTCCAGGATATGTCAGACTACAGGTGCATTAAATACAAACCATCAGAAAGTGAAAAGTGAGGTAAAAAGCAGAGGTTCCTTGTAACATCCCAAAGCTCTGTCCATCTCTATCTTTGTCCTTCTCATAGTAAACAATAAAGGGAATAAAAACAACAGACCTGGAAAATAGAAAGAGAAAAACAATAATTCATCTATGGGAAACCTTGTCATATTTTTGCATTATGCATTTGAGAAACATGAGGCCAAGAGAGGTTAAATGATTTTACCCAGAGTCCCTTGGTTACCAAATAGCAAAGACAGCTGTGGGGGCCTAAATCCTAACTTTTTTCTAAATGGACTCAGATGAACCATGATACTTGCCTACAAGTTCACTATTTACCTTCCAAGGCAATTTGGAACTTTTGAATGTTGCTCTTTATATTATCAAACTTCGTAGTTTAGAAAAGTGTACACTCAATATGTGATAAAACACAAAATGTGGTATTTTTCTCTCTTCTACATCTACAACTTTAAAACTATTTTCCTGAGCATTTCTACTTTTCTAACCACTAATATATTGAACTGCAATTTGAAAATGCAAAGAAGAAAATACAAAAGGTCTTAGATCCCCAAAATATTGTCCCAACTTTGTCTTCACTTAAGCTGTCACACACCTTAACTATACCTTCTCACTCGAGGTTGAAAGCTATCCCTTTGTCTCTAATGTAGAAGTTCTGAAGCTGAATGTGAACGTACCTATCACACATTTCAGAATCAGCAGTATCCTAAAGCAAGTAAGCTTATGCAATAATATATGACACTCTTTTAGTGACACACTTGTAATTGACCTAAGTAGTGCTACTTCTTATCTCCTGCATCACTCTTGGTGAAGCCAAGAAAACTTTTGAGGCTGAGGAACATGTGGAGTTTGTTTAGCACTGACAGAAAGAAAAAAAAAAGGAAGAAAGAAGCTTCACAATGTATAAAATTTAATTTGAACCCCTGCAAAGCTCCAGCCATATCCATAATACTTTTTCTATAAAGATTAGGTTTAAAATCTATCCATTGGAAATGCAGACATGTGTGTATATGTGTGTGTGTGTGTGTGTGTGTGTGTGTGTGTGTGTGTGTGTTATGAGCTAGAGTCTCATACCATGATGCTCCTTGAGCTATATTTTCAGGTCTTCTTCATTTTTATTTTTGAGATAGGATCTTGCTAAGGTCTTAAGTTGCTTAGGCTAGGCTCAGATTTGTGATCTTTCTCTCTCAGCCTCCCACAGTACTAAAATTTCAGGTGTGTGCACAAAGACATTTTACAATGGCACATTTTTTTTTTTGCAGTGGAGGTAACATTTCTTTTGTCCTGCAGATGTTACTAAAGCGAGAAACAAGGAATATGAAACGTGCTATGAAAGAACTAGGTAAGTATCTTCCACTCTAAATATTTAGCATTACCATCTCTTATACTCATACCTGTAGAAAAACTGTGGTTTTATTATTAAACTATCTGGAAGGAAATCTGTTCACTAATAATAATAAAGTAGATGATTTCAGCAAATATGATTGTGTTTATAGTGTGATAGTACCTTTCCATAGCCATTTTGTCTTCCTAATAAAATAATGAAGACATTTTAATTTCTTTTAAAATTATCTCCATTAGCACATCATAATTATGCATAACATTTTATAACCTTATTAACTCTATTTTCTCCCAAACCAGAAGTACTTGTGTCTTTCTGACGACACAAGGAAAGAAGTTATTGTTTCTTTCCACTGGTCAGAGAGCTTCCATTTGAGGATTTAGGCCTTACAATGAGTTGAAATTAGAACAGATCTCCATGAGGACTGCAAGGAACGGCAGCGCCCATACATGGAAACAACGTATTCTCTGAGTCATACCTGGTGCAGGACAAATTCTGGCAGTGAACAGGCATCCCAGTCATGTAATAATGGTCATATGTGAGGAAGGGAAAGGGATTTGACACCAGGCAGAAGAGAACAAGAAAACATAGAGCAAGTTGGAGAATGAGGCCTGGTTTGAGAAATCGGTATGGCAAATAAGTACCAAGACAGAAAAGAAGTTGTGATGAAGGAAAAGGCCAAATGTAGAATTAAATTTTAATGGATATCCAGAATCCAAATGAGATGAGCAGAAACGCATAGAGGAAAAGCCATTTAGGTACTGGCAAGTTGAGTGGACAGTAACCCAGGATGAATGAAAGGATTTAATCAAAAGCCATATTTGAGCACATAGTCTGTAGTCAGAAGTCCTGGAAGGTGGATCGTGAACACCAGAGCTAGAGCCCCAAGAAGGCTCCCACTGTCCAGTTCAGGTGGATCGATATATCTGTTATCCTTAGGACTTAGGTCCTAGGGCTCTCTTTCCTCTTCCAGAAGATTAGCATGAGTGTGAGTACCGCCAAGGTAATGACTGAAGTCTGGCACTATTGGAAAATAATTGATCATACTGGGACTTGCAAGGAGAGATATATTTCCTTGTGTTGAAAGTCGTATTCCATGAGTTCAGAGAAGAAGCATTAGTTTATTATCTACATTAAACATTTAAAATGATGCTCTTATTTCATCTGAAAATCTGTTGGAATTTTTCAGGCTACTTAGAGTATGATCACCCAGAAATAGGTGTCACTATGAAAACAAAGGAGGAGATTAATGTCCTGCTCAATATCGCCACAGAAATTCTCAAGAGTTTTGGGACAAAAGGAATTATTCATAAAAATGAAAGTGCTGAAATTAGTAAGGTAAGGTAGGGTATTATCAGAACAAATACATTTACTTAACTAATGGTAGTCATTCATGATCATGAAGGCTAGTTTTTTTTTTCTTCATTTTAGTTTATTCTGTGCTGTGAAAGTTAAAACATATAAACTGCAGCTTTAGATATAGTACTGAACCAATGTTTTTCTTCTTTTATTTAAAACTTTTTGTTAGTACACTTTTGATATACATAATGATCACATTCCTCATAGGGAATTTGTACCTGTACATGGTATATCTTAATTGCTCTCCCCCCTATTCCCTGCCTCTCCCTTCAACCCTTAGGGTAGGGCTAGGTTTAGGTTTAGGTTTAGGTCTAGGTTTAGGTTTAGGGTTAAGTTTAGGGTTAGGGTTAGGGTTAGGGTTAGGGTTAGGGTTAGGGTTAGGGTTGGGGTTGGGGTTGGGGTTGGGGTTGGGGTTAGGGTTAGGGTTAGGGTTAGGGTTAGGGTTAGGGTTAGGGTTAGGGTTAGGGTTAGGGATAGGAATAGGTATAGGGATAGGGTTGTGATTGAACTGGTCTACACATCCACTATTAGAATTTGTTTTCACACACACATACATTCTCACTAGTATTTTTTATGATTTAATTTCTTATTGAAACCCATTGTCTTTGTAGTGAAATGGAATCTCAGTGTTGCTTTTATTTTCATCTGACACATGACCAGTGATGTTGGACATCTTTCTGTCATATATTTGCCTTTCCTACTTCCCCACTTGAATTTTCTATTCATTTCAATTACCCAGTTGTGTATTGCTTATCCAGTGTTTCAAACATTGATCATTTGCTCATGTTCTTCATCTTTAATTTTCCCTTTATTTTACAGTGGTACACACCTGTTTTTCAAGTAGCATGTTATCACTGTAGTGTAGCACAGCATATAATGTTTCCTTGAAATAATTACTTCAGCAATATTTGGTAGATGTTTTTGCAGATAACTGACTTAAGGGTAATTTGAAATATTCCTCATAAAACATGCAGCACATGTATACTAATAAATGGGAAATTTAACAGGAGAGCAACTTATTACTCCTTACACTTACAACTCAGGAACACTTGCAAAGCAGACTGTACAAGGTGCTTTAATTCTCAACTGTGTAATGAACACTATTCTATTTGTTTCCTGAGAGTCTAGAAACTTACAGGACTGTTCAATGGCTTCTTTAACTTCAAATATAACCAAACTTATTTTATCCAGTATAATCCAGTAGAATTACTACTAGGAAGACAACATCACACAGCGTATTAATTATTGTCACTCTCCTACTAGCCTATTTTGAAATTGTTTTATTGTTCATTTTTTCCCTTTAATATATATATATATATATATTTGTTTTTAGTTTTTTTCCAGTACTGGGAATCCAATTCAGGACCTCGTGCTTGCCAGGCAGTTGCTGTGCCGCTGATCTAAATCCCCAGCCCCTCCCTTTAAAATAAAATTTTAAATAAACAAAAAATGAGCAAACAACTTGAACAGGTGCTTCTCCAGAGAAGATATATAAGAGCTAATAAGCATGCAGAAAGATGTTAAACATCACTGAACATTATGAAAATATAAATCAAAACTAAAATGAGATACTACCACCCATTCGTAAGATGGCTACCATGGAAACAAATAAAATACAGTGCATGTTGGTGACAGTGTGGAAAATGTGGAGTCCTTTTCCACTGTTGGTAGAAATGTAAAATGGTATGGTCTCTGTGAAAGTAGGTAGTATTGTTCTTAAAGGAAATTAAAATTGCAATGTTGATTCAGCAATAGATACTTAAAGAGTGTACTCAAAATCTTAGGTGCTGGTGTTTATAGTGCCACAGTTTGTAATAGCTAAATCTTAGCTATTACAGCACTAGTAGCACTAATTCCTAGAGACCCCACAAACCTATGAAAAGGGGAAAAAAATCCTACAGAAAGTGAGAAAAAGATCTGAAACAGGTACACATCACCAACATATATTTAAAAAGATATTTGAAATATCTAAAAACCATGGAATTGAAATTGATATATTTTCTTTAAGAAATAGAAACTAAAAAACAAACACTAAAGATAACAATTTTTTGCCCCTGGAGTCAACAATAATGAAAAAAATCTCTCAATGTTGACTGTTAATCAGGTTATGAGAAAATCAACTTAAAACATGGTGGAGTAGAAATGTAAATCGAAACAGTCATTCTGGAGGGAAATTTTAAAATAGGCTTTTAAAAATGCATAATATTTAAACTAACAGTTTCAAACATATGACTCTCCAGATATTCAAAACCAGACAAAAATATATCTCAAGCATATACTAGAAACACCCAACACATCTACAATTTGAAATAATTACGTGAATTGTGACACATCCATGCAAGTGAATATTATATGTAACAAAATTTGAGTAAGACAAATCTGTATGTAAACATAAAAAATCAACCAAAATATATTGTGAGTAGGAAAAAATTGTAAATAACATATATAGGATAATCAACTTATATTTTTAAGTTTCTCTCTCTCTCTATATATATATATTTTTTTAAAATCTAGACAGATTACAAAGTTCTTAATATTAGACCCCTTTCGGGAAAGAGTGGAAAGGAAAGAGACAAAACAAAGAGGATCCCAGAATTTATTTTTCATATTGTTTGAAATTTTTACCTAGAAATGTTCTCATTTGTATAAGTAATTAGCTGGTTTTTTAAAAAAATATTTTGTTTGATATATGGTATCTCGAGCCCTGCATTTGCCGTGATTTTCCTGAGGTATCCAGTTTGGCCTGCAGCTCTGCAAGTTGCTCATTACCGCACAAGGCCTGTGAGCCCTGTACAAATGAAACTCGCCGTGTTAAATACACATTAGTTTTAGCTTAATGTTTAATTTATAGTTTAACAGTTCAATCTGTCATGAGGGCTGTGAAAATGGAGACCCTCCCTGAAGAAGAAGCATAAAACACTAAAGGGAACTTTTCAAAGACGGTAGTAAAGTAATTCACAAAGGTGTATAACGAAAGTGTGAAAAACGATAAGAATAAATCTTACTTCCTTGATCCTTAAAGCACCCATATAACTTGGTCACAGCTGTTATTGTCCCTGTTTTTATGAGGTAAAGTTAAGCCACAGTTGCCCCTAAGTTAGACATCTTATAAGGCTGAGAGAGTTTTGTGATCTAGGGATTCTAACTGCAGAACCCACACTGTTACACTTTTTAAAAAAATCAAAATTAGAAAAAGTTGTCTAAGAATTTTACACTTAAAAAAATCAACAAGACATATTTGATTGTGGGAAAGTCTACCCTGTAAGAAATAGAAGTTATGAAAAGAAACAAAAACATGTACAGTGCTCTACATAATGACGCTGGGTTAAAGTTAGCATTGTTTCTATATAGATAATTAACAAAGCATCATTTATGGAAAACTAGCCCACTCCCTTGCACTGTAATGGAGCCTTAGTCATAAAATGATGACTTTTGGTGAATGGATATATTTCTGGACTCCTTTGATTTCAGTTTCATATTGACGCATCATTGAACCAAATCCGCATCATCTTAAAATTACTAAAACTTAACAAATCTTCATATCTGATTGTGTGTATCTTCCAGCTTTGTTTATCAAGATTGTTATGACTAATTTTGCATTTTGTATTTTCAAATAAATTTTTTAAAGACAACTTGGAATTTTTCATGAAATAGCACACTAAAATTTCCACTGGGATTTTATTTACACATAATTTATATGTCTTGCTGCTGAGCAGCTCTGAACCATAGTGGTACATGTAGAACTGTCCCATCTAGCAGCATAGGACAGTCCCACTGGATGATATAAGCTGCCCAGTGTGATAGTCATGAATGTACCTCTGGTTCAAGTAAATGGGAATGTGTTAAATTTGTATATCAATTTGGAAGAATTGACATCTTTGTAATACTGACTCAATATAGTAACATATTTTTCCAGTTAATTAGTTTTTAGTTTATATCAATAGTTTTTTCTGTGTATAGTTTCTGCACTATTTCTTTCATGAATCTGAACCCTTATCTCATACTGTACACAAAAATTCAACTCCAGATATATAAACTGTAAAAGAATAAGTATCTAGATGTTAACATAAGATAATTTTCATTATATTGGCATGGGCAATGATTTCTTAAACACAAAACAAAATTGGATCTAGGTATTATTGAAATGATAATTTAAAAATTAAGATAATGAAAAGAAAACATACAAAAAGGTAGAGGATCAAACAATAGCTTGTTTTGAAATCCTGTATTGTTTTTGTGTTGTTTAGTTTTTGTCTTCATTGTTGTTCTTTTGTTATTGTTTGTTTCACTTCAAAATAAAAAAAGGTAGAGGATATTTTCAAGGTGCATATATCCAAGGAAGACCCATATTTAGAATATATTTTTGAAAAAACTTTTGCAAATCCATAAGAACAAGACAAAAATTCTATTTTAAAAAAATGGGTAAGAATCGTGAAAAAGAACCGCACAACAGAATGGACTCAAATGGCCGGTAAACATAAATGTGCCAAATATTATTATCATAAGTCTAATGTACATTGTAACCAAAATGAAATACTAATACCCAGCCATCAGAATTGCTTATTTTATTAGTTGACAGTATCAGGTGTAGAAAATGATATGGGACCAGGACAGTAGAGTAGGAGTGCAAATAAATGCAACACGTTGGAAAATTGTTTGACAGTTGTATCAGTCAGCTCTCCCACACTGAGGCAAAATGCCTGACATCCATAACTTTAAGAAGAGATATTTAATGTGCCTCCTAGTTTCAGGAGGTTCTGTCCACAGTTATTGGGCTCCAAAGCAGAAACATCTTGGTGGAAGGAATGGCCAGGAAGTAGGGCAGGGAAGCAGTGTCATAGAGTAAGGGGCCAGAAACCTAAGGTCAAGCCTCCATGACCCACCAAGACATATCCAATAGGGTGTTTATTAATCCAATCAAGTTGACACAATTAAGCTTGTCACAGTAATCTCTACCTGAAATTGAACATACGTACATCTTATGACCCAGCAATTATATTAGACTACCATGAAGCCAACAGAAATGTGTACATATGAATACCAAATAAATATTCACAGCAGTATCACTCAGGTAGACCCATACTGCAACAATCCAAGGGGTAATGAATAGTAAATACATAAACCATAAATGAATCTCAGTAACATAACAGTGAACAAATGAAAACAAGTGCAGTTGAGTACATAGTCTTTATTTCATGCATATAAAAGTCAAAAGCAGTAAAAACCCACACAATGGTGATGAAAGAATGGTAGTTATCTTTTGGTAGTAGTGATATTTAGAAAAAATTATTTTAGCGTGTGACCAGAATAATGATTATACAAAGAGACAGAAAAATGGTATATGAGGGGAGAGGTTAGATGTTTCCATGGAAGAACAAAATCACAAAAGACTAAGAATAGACAATAGCACAATGAGAGTTTTTAAAATGTTTTATGAATACTTTTTGGTCAATTTTTTTGTCTTAAATTTTGTGGCCTTAGATAATCATGAACAGAAAAAAAGAAGTACATGATTTTCAGGCTATTATCAAGCCTCTTACTGTTGAAGAGATCCCGTACCATATTACATGGCTTGAGAAAAACCCAAAGTACATAGACTTTATTGAGGTAAGATTTTTATCACTTCATACTATCTTCTTGGGCTGGGGATATAGTATAGCTCAGTAGCACAGTGCCTGTCTGGCAAGTGCAAGGTCATGAGTTCGATTCCTGATACCAAAAAAAAAAGTATCATCTTTAATGTATCAACAAATACTCTTTTTAAAAATAAGGATTTAACTCTGATAGCCTCGTTCAAAGCTCTCTAATTGCTCCTTGTTATCTGTGAGATAAAATCAAAATCCCTTGGGATGACACACAAAATCCTTCCACGATATGCCTCCTGCCTGGGTCTCCACCTTCATCTTCTGTTTCCCGCCTGTTCTATACCCTTTGTATTTTATTTATACTGAACCAGTCATCATGGCCTGTACACTTTTCGTGGTTTCCTAGTTCCACTCATCTTGGGTACTATTTACTTTTCTTGACTTGCCCTCCTGTTCTACTTCATTTTCAAAATTTCTTTGCTTATTGCGCCCCTAGAAACTTCCCCGTTCTCAAAGAAATAGGTTTTGGGGTCTAATTGTTTACCAAGAAGCCATCTTGTGGTCCATAATAAGATTGGAAAATCAAAGGTGCTACCACTGTCTCCAAAATATACTTTTATTTTAGCATTAAGTACATTACATTGCAATTATTTTTACATTTCTGTCACCTATGTTTGTCTAGCTCTTTCATCTTTGGAATAATCAGCCCTTATCACTTTGCACAGAATAATATTGAATAATTAATATTCAATAGATGTTTATGAAAGAAACACATAAATAGATCTAATTGTCTTAATTGTATTCTTTTTCTGTATTTTTGGTGTCAAAGGGCAATTCTATTTTTCACCTTCTTAAAATATTTAGAATGAATGATGTTTTTTATTTCTTTAGCTGTAAAGAGCATCTGTGTATGAAACGTGTAAATATCATTATCTTACTTACATCTGTCCGCCTTACTTTTCACCCAGGTGAAACACATTCTTCCTCCCATATTCTTATTCCTAGACTATTTCTTTCCTTACCATTTATAAATCTTGCATTTGAAATTAAAACTACCCAGGAATATCTGTTTTCCTCTCTTTGCTATTCATAATTCCTACCTTCTTTTGCAAATTTATTACCAATGCATTATCTTCAATCTTTTTTGTGTGTGTTGTTTGTTTTTTTTGTGGTTTTTTTGGTTTGTTTTTCATTTTTCTTCCTATAGCAGGAATTGAACTCATGACCTTGCACTTGCCAGGCAGGCGCTTTGCCACTGAGCTAAATCCCCAGCCCCAATATCTTCAATCTTATTGAATATTTACTTTATATATATGAAACTTTTAAAACTTAAATTTCAACATGCCCATGAGTGTTAAAATAGTATTTATAAGTTATGTTTTTGTGATATTTTTTAGTCTGGAGCCAGAATTGTAACATTTGATTGTGGAAATGATATATTTCACGAAGAGGATGACCCCAAAGGAGTCTATATAATTATTTCAGGGATGGTAAAGGTAAAGCAAAGATGTTTATAAATGCATGCCTGATAGTCTGTTTAAAAATCTTTATAAAATAGAGACTTAATAGTTTTCCAGATTAAAACTGCGTGGTATCTTTTTTAGGACAGCGGGGACCGATTTTCACAGTCAGACACAATGGATAACAATGCCCACCAGCTTTTAAGCCATACTTTCTCATAGATAACAAGAACCCATGAAAGCATCATCTATTTTAAGATGCTAATTTCTAATATAAATTTTTTATCTTATATTTATATAACTTTCAGATTTAATCACGTAAAGTGGATGTAGGTTGGTTGAGTTGGTGACATCAGAAAGATTAGCAAATTTATGAATACTTTGTCTTTATACCATTGCTAATTTAATAAATTTACTTTAAAGGGAGAAGTGAGTACTTTAACAATAATATGATGTTTATGCAAGCATTTTAGTTGTTAAAATCAAAGTGGATTATACATAAATGATAATACAAATCAAGTATCATACATTTTTTTTCTTTCTTTGCCCCTGAACAGCTTCAAAGAACAAAGTCATCAGATTCGGAGACTGACCACATTATCTTGGAATCAGAGGAGAAAGCCTATCCCATAGTTAACACAGACTATGTGCTTGGTGGGGAAGCGATAGGAGAATTAAACTGCTTAACCGATGAACCAATGAAATATTCTGCCACCTGCAAAACTGTAGTTGAGGTCAGAAAACGTACCTGTGTCTTACTGTTGTGCCTCATTCAGTGTTTAATATCACATTTAAAACCTTTTCATTGTTTAGGTATGTCTACAGTACAGTGACATTTTATTTTTTAAAACTAGGAAAGATAAAAGGACAAATTTTATGACACAATTTTGCTCATGTAGCATAATGTCCTGCTAAAAATGGTCCTGAAAGTGAATCTACCATAACAAAAGAATTTAATTAGAATAATTGGCCAAAGTTGATTGAAGCTCTTTTATGGTGAATTGAATGGGTTATATTAATCAACAAGTAAATAATATTAACCAACGAGTTACACTTTTCAAGTGTAACTTGGAAAGTCAAAGAGGGAGAAAAGTCAGAGTTAAAATGTAGTGATAGTAAACTTGAACAAGGTGGTAAGAGTTTGCCGAGACATGGCTGAGGAAAAAAACTAACAGCCCAGGAGGTCCCACTGGCTTAATTTGAGTGAAAAAAAAGTGACTCTCATTCATGAAGTCACAAGAAAAGAGAAAACCTGAAACTCTTCAACCCGTTAGACTGAACCAGTTTACAGAAAATACATGGTGAGAAGCAAGTTGGGTTACATCAGGAGGAAATAATTAGTTAAATCTAAAAGAAGGTTCTGCAGAATAAGTTGATTCTTTCAAGAAATGAATGACATAAAAAGTGTGTGAAGAGAGAGAATATTGTTAAAATTGGATTTAAAATATATAACCACCAAATACTATTAGTGTAATTTGAACAATTAATTATATGGAGGCTTATCTGAAACAATCTGGGAAATTTAATATTAGCAAAATATTAGATAATATTTTAAATTTTGTTAAGTATGATAATTATTTATGTTTATTGCTTTAAAACATTGCTATCACTAAGTGATGCATATTAAAATATTTAACAAGTGAAATTATGTGATACTTAGACCTTGAATAAAATCACTAACCTTTGGTTTTTAGCTATGATGAAGTTACTAGGAGCACATTAGTTCATCTACCATAAAATAACCATGAAACTTGACAAAATGTAGGAGAAAAATGTCTTCATCCTTTGAATTTAAGCCTGAAAACTCTAAAGTAAAAAAAAAACTCACAAAGTAAGTCCTCTATATACCTCATCTGCTTGGCACTATTTCCCAGTCAGAATGCAGGAATAATTCATGCAGAAGATGGTTATTCTGCTGAGATGAGAATGGAATGATCTTAAATCAAAGAAACTAAAATCAGTGAAATCTTCCAAACAAGGAGTAGGAGAAAGAATTGCACAGAGAAAGACTAAAGATCTGTTTGATGGTTCTCCACAAGTCTTTAGTTGACAGATGAGTTGCACATGCACAAAATGAGGCAGAACTAGATTTACCAAGTGCCTCCTCCCCACCAGTGATTTCTCAGAGGACTAATATCTAAAAAATATAAAGAGCACAAAAATTAGACCCCCCCAAATTACAGACCAAATAAAAAAGCAGACAGCTGAAAAAAATAGACACATCCCAAGAAGAAGTACACATGG